CCGCCCCGGCTTCCGGGTCGCCACCTTGCCTCATACCCTCCCACCTCACTGGTCAGTCCTTCTCAGTCTCCTTTTCTGGTTCTCCTTCCTGTCCCAGACGTAATGGTGAAACCCCAAGGTTCCGTCCCGGGAACTCTTCTTCCGACTCACAGCCTCGGTGTTCTCGTCCAGTCTCATGGTTTTACTACGCATCCTCTATGTGCTGATGAACTCCCAAATGTATACTCTGGCCGGACTATCATCTCCTTTGAACTCCACTGCCTCTTCTGAGCACTACACCTACTCAGGATCCCCAGGTGGGTGTCTAAAAGGTGGGTGAAGGCAAAGTATCCAAAACCAAAGCCCTAACCCCCCCCCTCCCCCGCAACCTGCTCCTCCTCCATCATGTTCCATCTCAGCTAATGGCACTCCATCTCTCCGGTGACTGCTCCGGGTAAGATCTTTGGAGACACCCTCGATGCTTTTCCTCTTCTCGTACCCACACTCGATCCAACTGCTGGCTCTGTCTTCAGAATAGACCCATAATCTGACCACTTTGCGCCACGTCTACCACCCTCATTCTGATCCAAGCTGCCACCATCTTTAAGCTGGATTAGTGAATCGGCCAATTAATGGGTCACCTTCCTTTGACTCTTTCCCCCTTTAATTGAGCAAGCCAGAGCTATCCTGTTGAAACGTCAGATCACGTCGCCGCTTTGATCAAAACCTTTAATGGGTTCTTCTTACTCCAAGCCAAAGCCAAAGTTCTTACAATCAGCCCCACGAGAACCTACACGGGCTCCGCCATGTCCCTGGTTACCCTCCTGTTCTCATTTCCTCCTCCTCCTCCTGCCTTTCCTTCTGTTCCAGCCACTCTGGCCTCCAAGCTGTTCTCAGCGTGTCAGGCTTGCTTCTGCTTGAGGCCTTTGCACGTGCTGCTTCCTCTGCCCAGAGTGACCTTCCAGATACACATGTGGCTTTCTCCAGGCAGATTTCAGGTCCTTCATGTCTTTGCTCACACGTCACCCTTTCAAAGAGACTTTATCTGAGCAAACTGTTTAAAACTGAAATCCTTCTGGACCCATCCCAGCACTCCCTAACTCGCTTTAATTTTTTAAGACCCTACATACTCATTCTTTTGCTTGTTTTCTGTCTTACCCTACTCAATTGTTGGCTCTAAGAGGGCAGCAATTTCGGTCTACTTTATCATCCATCGTATCCCCATGTCTGACACATGACAGGTCTCCAACAAGTATTTATAGAATGTGATATTGACTATAGGCAGTGAGAATGATGAGAACTTCCTGGTTAAGTTCTTTCTGGTGGACAGGAAGAATGGGAAAGTAAGAAAAATGGGAGAGCATGGGCATTATCTGGTCGAAGTTCCAGAAAAATAAATAGTGGTGGGCCGGGCCATAAGACCCCCAGCACTGGTGTTAGCATGTGGAGATGGAGAGATAATTTATGAATAATAGTTGGTTCACAACCAATATAATGGTTGTAAAAACCCATCCCACTCTCAGTGGGAACAACTCTTCTGGAGTACAGTGCAAGCAAGAACAAGAGGTGGGTAAAATGCATAAGAAAGGAGGGAGATCTGAGAAGATTCCCAAAGGGAAAGGACAAAAGACAATTTGTGGTGACTAGTACAGACCGGGCTTGTTCCGATTGTCGGAAAGCCCTGGCAAGCCCTGGCCCGCCCTGGCCCGCCCAGCACAGTGCACTGCCACTGGGTGGCGCTGTTCTCCGTGTGCCCCAACCAGAGCAGCCAGATAACCACACGGTGGTTTTCAGTCTCCTTGTTTTTAAGATCAGGGAAAAGACAATATTTGAGTAGTAAATCCAGATGACTACGCTGTGCATTTTCTGAAGGCTGCCTTTAATACTGAAGTTTTATCAAGGCACAGGAAAATTACTGGCTGCCTTATTTTATGGAAGAATAGCCTTATATCCTTGTGGCAAATATTTGCTGAATGCTAAGTACGTACCAGGTAGCATGCTGCCACCACGAAGCCACAGGTATTGGGTGATTTTGTTTTGGAAATTTACATAATTCTTGAACAATTTTTTTTAAACTGTTGTGTCTTTTTTGATGCCTGTCAAGTTCACCACCGTCAAGTGTTAGGTTGCTTAAGCATAAAAAGGGAGGAAGTTCATATTGTATTCTAACGCTGTGGACCAACAGAAAGTGTATTATTTGGCCATCAGAAAATACAAGTATTCTACAACTTCCAAAAGCAACTCTGCTGATTAAATGCAAGTGGATTAAAAAAACAACCTTTTATTGGTTTTATTTTTATTTTTAAATCTACAGTGAAACATCATTAGCCTAAAAGACAGCAAAGACCTCCCATCGGTAGACAAACGTGAAGGCTTGGCCTCGGAAAACAGTTAGTTGAAGCCGTACGTGTGCTGCCTCCTAGTCTGCCTGAGTTCAACCGCTGACTCAGTGGAGGGAATCCACATGCTATTCAGAGTATTCAGAATACAGAGTATTGCAAAGAGATGTCATGAAAGAGTAGTGTTTTCTATGGTCGCCCAACGCAGAACTTTCAGTTCTAACTGCCGCCAATGTATCTGTGACAATTGGCAACCTTTGATCGATCCTCTGAATAACTGATACGACTTTGGGGTTATTGTATAAATCCATGGAGAATCTGAAAATTGGTGGTGACGTGGCTTACTATAGGAATCTAGAATTACTAAATCCCTACATCTAGGTCTCTTGAGATAAGACTTAGACTTTGAAATGCCAGGCCATTTTAAATGGTGCTTACATTGCAATCCTATTGGAGGTGAAACATGGATGGTAACATGTCCAAACTCAATGGTCTCACGCTTGCTTTAACTGAACTAATTGTAAAGGAAATAAGGGTTTAGCATCAATATTCAGAATGCCAAATAGCCCAAAGGCTCTGAAAAAGCCAAAGGGGCCCTTACTCTCCTTTAACTCTTCTTTTGTGTCTAAGTTACGTAACCGGCCCTGTACATGTTCCTCTCCTCTGTCCGACATGAGGTCAGTAACTTGTATCTACCAGCCAATTTCGAATCTGCTGTTCCGTATACTTTGGCACTGTGCATCGGGGCACCTGTCACTGCAGTACTGGTCTGGGGCAACAGCAGTTCTGCATGCACATATATATTTTTTCACCCTGTATTACCAAACAGCCTGCTCCACCCCCAATTTTCCCTAATGGTATCATCGTACAGCTCATATTTTCAACTTGTTTACGACTACATAATTAGACACTTTGCCCCAAACTGCTGAGTTCAGGACAGACTGGCTCTATAGCGTTGCCTGACTCTGATTTCACAGTGGCTGACGCGATCGATCTCTGGAGACACAGGTCTTCCCCGTACCTTGAACTGTAACTTGAGCAGCAGCTGGGATTCACTTAAAGCAGTTAATTCTCTTCACTCTCTTCTCGCCCTTATCTTGGAATTAAGGGGTGACTGTCCTGCTTTTGTGATCTGGGGTAACAGGAGCTCCTGGTTTGTGGAAGGCAGCATTGGGGATGGCTAAGAGCACAAGCTTTGGGGTCGCATCCAGATTCCACCAGTTACTAATCCAGACTCACACCTCGAGTGCTGAGTCCACGGCTCGGTGCACAGCCAATGCTTAGTAACTGTTAGCTGTTACTTCTAGTATCTATGTATTACACACTGAACTAGTGCTTCAAAAGGTCCCTAAGTCTCATCTGCAAGGGATGTGTCACTATCCTCATCACACAGATGAAGCTGAGGCTCAGAGTGGGAGTTTGTAAAGCCGGGATTCAAAGAAGCCCTCGCACTATGCTCACTTTACTACACTCTTTGGTTTTATGTCTCTTTAAGTGCTTTTCCCTTTTGACAATAGCATTAAAACATCTCTCTTACGCACATCTTTCATAGTTTACTGTTCTTGTTTAAAGAAGATTTAAAAAATTTCCCATGCCTAGGACACACGTTCGGCCACTTCAATCAAGACTCAGGCATCGATACTTGAAGCTTCCTGGCGATGGCACTGAGCAGCCAAACCACAGAATCCCCGAGCCTCAGCTCTCCCTGTTCCTGGCTTTGCACACCCCTTCCAGCAGTAACGAGTTGCCGTGATTGCTCCTCCCTCCTCCTGTGCTGTTCTGCTCATCTGTCATACTCCCTACCGTCCCACCCTCCAACCTGGCTTACTCCTTCGTGAGGAGCTGGTATTTGCGTGCTCCCGGAAGTCTTCCTAAGTCACCAGTCTAAGGTGGATGTAGGCATTTTTCCTGCATTCTCTCGGTGCCCAGTAAATATCCGTCACTGTGCTTAGCGTGTTGTATAATTATCTGCCAATGTGCCTGACCCCCTCCCGGCGCCAGGCACTCCCTGAGGCCAGGCCCGCCGTCTGACACGCGCTTCTGTCCTCTCGGCACACAGTCCCAGTCGTGGCCTCACGCACAGGCCCCCGACACATTAGTGGAACGGCTTTCCGGCGCTCGGAGAGGGTTTCTAGGGAAGGGATTATTTGTGCCAGACATCAGTGGGTGGGTTGACTTTGATCCGTATTTTTTTTACTAGAGGCGATGAAGCCAGCAACTCGGTCACTTGGGTGAGCACTCTGTTCGCCTCTGGTGCCCATATGCACACACTGCAATTTCTTTTGCATAGACTCGCACTTGGCACTAAAAATGTCTTAATTACATTTGCAATGACTATGAACTTGTAAGTTGTTTACTCCAAAAAGTTGGAGTACAATTATAAGTAACAGAATAGTCTATTATTATCTTAAATCGTATTTTCCTTTACATTTCAATAGAAATTTCTTTTGGTTTTGAAATACATTATGATGATGATCTAGGATCAAACAATTTCAATCTTGACCTCTTAAGTATTTCTTCTGCCCCCCTGTGATGTAAAATATAAAATAGTTTGCTGGCCTGTACCCAGAGACTACATTAAGGAAAAAGAGAAATTCCAAAGAAATTCAATCATGACTACATATAAACCATCAAAAAATAAGTTTTAGAGGATGCTTCCAAAGAAATACACAATACAAATAATGTCATTTGTGTCCTTTTAATAAACACACTTGCATAGTTATATTACAATTTTGTAAAAATAAAAACAGATTACCTCATGCCAAGCGTGCCCAGCATTTGCACAAATCTCAATACCTTTAATACTATAGTTTTCAAGACACACAAAATAAAATTTTAAGGCGAAAACAGCACTTTGCAACAATTGAATAATTTATTACATTACAGTAGCATCACAGCAGCATCCGACAACGCCGCGTTAGGCAGAAGTCTCTCAGAATTTCCCGTACAGATTCTATTTACAAGAATTTGTAACTTGGTAAAATTCATTCTAAGAAATTTGGCAAATAAAGCTTTGAGTGGAATTGGCATTTCTTCCTCTACTTTTCCTCCCCGCACTTTTTTTAAAACTATCAGTACTCACATTGCCTTTTAAAACACTAAAATTACAGTTACGTTGTTTTAATAGTTCTGTTATTTTAAAATGACTCTTTTAAGATAAAGTTTTAGCGGAAACTCTATAATGGGTAGGGCTGATTTAAATTTTCAAATTTTCTAAAATATCAGCTTTGGTTTTAGAGTTGATTTTTTTCACTGCTGGAAAACCCATCGGATTTAATCACGTACTTTAAAAAGGACTATCAGATCTTAACATTTTTAAATAAACTTTACCTCCTACAGGGCCTGGGTTTATTCAGCGGTGTTCCCATTCTAAAATTCTGAGTTCCGTATAAACGCTTTCCTTTCGATGTTGCTTTCTAAGCAAACTGAAAGCTGCCCCGTACCGAGTAGGGAAACGCACGGCTGAACGTGAGGTGCTGCGAAGGACCGCGTGCATTTCTAAGGAGGTCAGGTTATTGTTTGTCATCCTACTTTATTTTTAGCTTTCTCTTGAATATGTAACAAAATACCCACAGAAGGAGAGGTGTTTCCGTAAATACAGTAAATATGTTTTCCGGACTGACATTCGGCTGAGATGTGTCATGGGATTTAGTCCATAGGCACCTGATGAGTACACTCTTTTCAAATTGAGTACAGATGCTAAACTCTACCTGAATGTCATTCTTAATAATCTGTGTCAGTGTTAAAGTGATGATTTGCACTATAAAATACCTTTGAAATATTAAAATAATTTATCAGTATATTAGTAAGTCCAAATGCAAAAAAAGTAATTATAAAGAGAAAATGTTATACCAAATTGTGTGGCTAATTAGCAGGGCTCTGATTTCTAACTTCATGGTTTATAATGGACTTAAAGGAACTGTCTTTAATCTGAACCCAACTAATGGGCGCAAAAGCAGAAAGTTCAGAATGGGATAAGGCAAGACCAAGTAATCCGTACAGCATGGGACGTCAGCTGGGTTCACCAGGACTCAATATCTGCACTCTCTCCTTTGGTGACGCAGGTGACAAGTCTGTTACTCCACCTACATAGTGATATTATTGCTTTCCAATTAATGTCACTTTATAAAAGTATCATAATGACGCCAAAGGCTAACAACTGCGGTGGCCTGATAACTACAAATCCCTACCCCAGGGAGCACACAGACATGTCGCCACACGCCCCAGTAACGGGCAGGACTTTGGAACACAGACAGACATTCGAACCTGGTGAGGTTATAACTGAACTGTTGATTCTTCCTCAAGTGTTGTGAAGTTATGATTTAGGCAATGTATGACTGGAATCATTCATAATGTATAGGCACATTAACATAAATATTGCACAAGTATGCTTTTAACTTAAACTCAAAGATACAGAAACATGTTTCACTCTTCTCAGAGAACTCCGTGAGGAAGTAAGACTGACCATGCGCGTGCTCGTCCTGCTAACACTCTGACATTCATAAACAGTAGATTGCACTGCGATTTGTAAACGTTTTAAATTGCATAAACTTGTCATTGACTTCCCAAAACATTTTAACACTGCCCACTAAAACTCCTTTTTGTTTCAGCTAAGTAATCTCACATTTATTAGTTTTCAATAATGTTTACCATCTTTAAAGTGTTTCCATCCAAGAAAAAGTAAAATCCTATGCCAAAGTAGCCACGTGGTTGAAGAACACAGAGTAGCCAGAGAATTCTGGATGGTGAAGGCAATCTTCTAGCCCCCAGCAGCTTTACGGACACAGAGGAACACTAACTCACACATCTCTCCTTCACTCAAGTTCATTCTTGACTAGATCAAGCCTGTGTGCCTGCTTCAGGGGCATTTAAACTCTTCAAGGATTCCTTATGATCTTGACTAAATACACTAAGAAGAATGTGTCCTTTCCTACACAAAGAACCAGTGTCCTTTTGTGACTCGGGATATGTGGTCACCTAATTAAACAGATACCATGAATTTTGACCTTAAAATGTATTGCAGATATAAAGGCTCTGCCTAAACTAGGGAAGGTTTCATATCTTGTGGTCAATGATGGGAGCCCTTCATTCCCCAAAAGTGAATGATTTTGGGGCCATCAATGAAGAGGTAACAGCTGCCTGCTGCAGGACATGGTGCAGCACCTCTATCGACCCAGAGCACACGAAGATGCTGAGAACCACCACGGCGCAGCGTGTGCTCCCGGGCGGCCCATGCAGATGGAACGCACCCCACTCTGCACACACTGCCGGGGCTCATCCCCTTCCTCGCCTACGAGCTAAGAAAAGCTCCCCAGGGGTGTTATTGCTCCTACCCCAAAATACACAGAAAATAGATAAGAAGTTATTTCCAGTTCTTGGCCTTGAACAAATTTAAATACTGAAGAGTGGCATATTGGAAAGTAACAGAGTAAACAGTACATATTTGGGGGCAAATCACACATTGAATCAATTAAGAGCTCACCGTGATTAGGATTAGATCAAACGTAAGAGCAAAACATCAGCAGATTTTATCTGAATTCTGTAATCAGTACACAAGCTGCAGCAACATTAGAAAGCACGACAGCCCCTCCCACCCCCGGGAGAACAGTTTGTGCAAATAGTGGGTCTTTGTGTGTTTGAATTCCCACCACGTGAGGAAAAACGCAAGGTGCATGCTAATGACCTACAATTAACCAAATTAAAAAAGAAGAAAAATGCTAAAGGATGCCAGAGTGAGCAGCGGGGAAAGCCACACAAAGACCCACTATCCTGTAACTTGTTACAAACAGATTTTAACTGTGAATGAGAAACACGAGGGAGTGACCACAAGTGGCTCTAGCACTCGAGCGAAGTTAATGAGCAGGGCAGGAGGCGTCTGACCAGGGCTGCCCGCCTGCCCGCACGCTACTCAGACGTGGATAGTGGGTCTCTGGGGTGCTTTCCCACTGGAAGGCAACACTGGGTCCTACGAAAAGAAAAACGAGGAATAAAATGAACATAAAGCAAATTAAGTGGGTGAGAAAAAATTTAACTGATAACATGCAACATCAACTAAACAGATTTGAACTATTACCCTTCTCGACCTGTGGAAAACACAGTCACGTGCCGCTTAATGGTGGGGGCTCGGTTCTGAGAAGCACGTGCAATGGTGGGGGCGGCCCGGGCCGCGCACGAGCGGACGCCGGGGCAGTCTGCCGCACAGGGGGCGACCCTGTGCACCACCACCACCACGTGCGGGTCTGTTCTCGCCCAGACGTAACATTATGTGGCACATGACTGCATCCTAATTATGTAAAAAAATGAAACTGGTACTTACAAGGGCCCAAGAAACACAAATGGTAACCTAAAATTTAACCAGTTTTCACTGACTCATACACGCCTAGCTGTTCTCCCTTTAGAACAGCTTTTTAAAATTTGTTCTTTATTTCTTAGAGAAGGCTTAATTGGAGAAAGTGCTCCACCACAGAAAAGCAAGATAAACAACAACAACAAATCTGGAGAACCATCGCTTTTCATCGCGGACGAGATGAATGCCAAATGCTCTGGCACCCCGAGTGCCTCCGGGGCTCGAGCTGAAGATCTCCCTGACCCGGCAGGTCTGGGAGGGGCCTTCCTCTCTCACTCAGGAAAGGCGCCTCGGGCATTCCTAACTAATCAGGTAAACTGGCAAGAACTAAAAACTGCCAAACCACCAGCAGAGCTCTAAATGGTCACTCTTTTAGGGAACCCAGGTTGTTAAAATTTTCTTTACCATTTCTCCTGAGACCCTGTGATATTTGGAAATGTTCAAACCATAAAAATCTGGACTCCTCCCACCTCCAAATTCGGAAATTTAGTTGTGTTATCTAAAGGACAGTCTTCTCCCAGAGTGAGAACTATCTTTACAAGCTCCAAAGTAAAAATAATGCACAAATATTTCAAAATTACGTATAAAATAAATTCACAATACTTGCACTGAGTCATAAACATATCTTGGCTTTGGGTTACCATTTACATGTTCTCAAAAACTAAATTAAAATGAAAGGCTAAATCTATTAGATAATTTCATAAGAATGGTAAAAATATAAATTATGAAGTATTTTTGTAAAAATCCCAAAAGAGTAGGAAAAAGTGACTATTAATGCAAAGGCTAGGTAACTACCAAGAGATAATTTTTTGTAATACCCAATATCCCACTTAGAGATCCGGACCCTCATTCCAACAACAGTGACACAGATCTCGATTCATACATCTCTTGTGGCATGAGGTATCCACCTAAATAATCAGCTAGTAAGAGTTTTTAAAAAAACCAATTTAAACAGTTGTTTAATTTTATTGTTACCTGGATGATGTGTAAATATATGGGAAATAAATGAAGAGGTGGCAAAATTAATAGCACTTATACACCAAAAGGGTACTTTTTAATAGGTAAATAGGATACTTACTATGCACTTTATTGAGCTAAAAAACGCCACTGCACTCTGACAAGGACTGTGGCAAAGGGAAATTGCAGTACAGACTGCTGTTACACTGAAGAATCCATAAAAGAATTTAAAAAGTTCAGATAAAGTCTGATAGTAAGCTATATAATTTTTGAACTTGTAAAAAGTTCCTTTCTGCGTTTTCTTACTTTAAGCACTGGTACACACTTGCTGAGAGGGCGGAGCTCAGTGCCTGGCCTGGGAGAAGAATAAACGCAGTGCAGCACGTTCAAGCCTGGGCACTAGTTGAGAGGGAGAGAGTCGCATTACTCACACTGTTGGCTTGGATCTGAGTCTGTCGTCATCTTAACGTAGTTCGAAGGGAAGAGACCGGTCACCCCGTTGATTTCTCCCTGCCACCAGTCGGGATCATCCTTGTTCAAAACGTTGATGACCTGTCCCTTGGAGAAGTTTAGCTCATCCTCGTTATTTGCTACATAGTCGTACATGGCAATCACCTGACACACTACAAGAAAAAGGACAAAATAACATTTAACAAATTAATTATTCCTACAAGGGTCACATGTCAAAATTCCCCCCAAATTTAAATTACTCTAATATTAAATGTTAAAATTAGCCTAACTTTTTCTTTCCATTTGCTCTCTCTCACCCTCCTTCTCCCATTCCATTTTAGAAAAACTAGAATTTCCAAAGTACAGTTAAAAATCGAAGTGAACTGCTATGCTTTAAGTCTGATGGTGTAGTCATTTCACACTGAGAAATTTTAAGGACTAAAGGGGTCACGTATCACTGGACAGCTGCTGTTCCTCCACAGAACGCTTTAGAAGAGCAGCTCTCAGCGCACCACACTTCCAGGCAGCAGCATGGAAAGCACAGTACTCAGCGTTTCTCAGAGTCACATAATCTGAAAAGTCGGTGGATGCCAACGAACGCCCCCCCCCCCGCCGGCCCCCGCCGTGAGGCAACACCAGCCACCCCACTCCGTACCAGGGTGGAAGGCGGGTGTTGTTCTTTCACTGCTCGGACCCAGGAGTTTAACGTGGCTGGCAGGGAACCATCCTTTCTGTCTTTTTTTGCCTCTGGCCTGTAAAATTAGCAAAATGAGTAGGAAAGATCAGATGAAAAGCAATTACTGAGACCTACACTAAAAATGAGAAAAAGCCTGGGTAGTAGGGAATTTAACCTTGCTCAAGATAGATCTGGTTTTTGTCTTTGGATCCCGGGAGGTCATCTCTAAACCTCTGGGATATTGTGACTGGTGAGTGCCTTAGTTTACTTGGGGGCCTTGACCATGGCAGACAGGCTAACAGTGTGATTTACGGTGGGTGCTCTGGGTCAACTGAACTGCTGGGGAAACTAGAGACTGCGTTCAGCCATATAAGCAGCCAACTGTGTCTATGTGATAGAGCCCCAACAAAACGCTAGACACCAAGGTCAAGTGAGCTCCTTTGCTGGGCGAGCCTCTGTGGGTGATGCTGCCGAGGCCAGTGCTCATGGCGCCACCGTGAGAGGACGCTGGCGGAGCTGTGTTTGGAGCCCCCGATCCTGCCCCACACATCTTGTCCGCTGGCTGGTTTGGATTTAAATTCTTTTGCTGTCATAAATTGTAACCATGAATATCATACAGCAGTCCCCCTTAATCCACGATTTCTTTTTCTAATTTGTTACCCACAGTCAACTGCAGTCTGAAAACATTCAATAAAAAATTGCAGAAACGAACAATTCCTAAGTTTTAGGTTGCGCACTGTTCCGAGGGCATGATGAAACCTCCCAGTGTCCCCTCTGTCACACCCCGGACGTGATGAGTCACCCCCTTGCCCAGTGTATCCACACTGCCTTCACCACCTGCCTGTGGGCTAGTAGCCACCCAGGCTACCACATTCACTGCCACGACATCTCAGTGTTTGTGTTCAAACACCCTTGTCTGACTTCACCAGGGCCGCAGTGCACAAGAGCAGTGAGGCAGGCAACTCAGCTACACCACAGAGAAACTGGGAAGTACTTCCTTTAAACGAGAAGGGTGAGTACCTCACAGTAAGACATTCTGACAGAGACCACATTTACATAACTTTTATTACAGTATACTGCTGTCCTTGTTCTGTTTTACTATTGTGTAGTAATTGCTGTTAATCTCTTACTATGTCTAATTTATAAATTAAACACTACCATAGACATACATGTAGAGGAAAACAGTACATGCAGGGTTCAATACTACCTGCATCCACTGGGGGGGGTCTCAGAACAAATCGCCCTCGGATAAGGAGGGGCTACTCTTGTTTTTTAGCAAGTCCTGTGAGTCCTTCTAGCAAATTATTGAACTTCAGAGTGGTCCTGGGGACCTCCAAACTTTCCACTGGTGTCAGAAGTAAGGCTGGTCTTGGGGACCCCTAAATTCTGCATTGGCCTTCCAGGTCAAACTAGAAGACTCAATGTGCATCTCAAAATGCAGCTGAAAACACTATTTGTAGAAATCTATTTGGAGATCTTCAGGCTCAGAGTTACCTACATATTTTACATAAATAATATTTATAAACTAAAAAGACTTTTCTAGAGTTTTTTATTTTTTAAGAGTTCTAATAAGCTCAAGTCAACACTTAGAATGGAGCCGTAAACACCTCCTGGGCCGTGTGTGTCGTCAGGAGACCCCCCACAAAACGTGCGGAGAGCCGTGTTTCCCGCTTCGGTGGGCTGCTCTTCAGAGCAAATGGGAAGGTGCAATTTCAGGGGGTTATTCAAGAAGATACTGAGTTTTGAACATCCACTGTTCTTTAGGAATTTCAAGACTGATTTGCAAGAATAAAGCTATATTTACCCTCCTTATTACAATCATATTATCATCAATCTTACATAAAAATACAGCTGTTGTACCTCTCCTCATCTTTTTAAAAAAATCCTTAACTGAGGATATGTTCACTGATTTGAGAGAGAGGAAGGGAGGGGGAGAGTCAGAGAGAGAGAAACACCAATGTAAGAAAGAAACCTCTATCGGTTGCCTTCTGCTCACGCTCCGACTGGAGGTCAAACCTACAGCCTAGGTATGTGCCCTGACCGGGAACTGAACCCACAACTTTTGGTGTACAGGACAATGTTCCAACCAACTGAGCCACCTGGTCAGGGCCCCTCTCATCATTTTTTAATCCTAAAATGCTGCTTAGTTTTAACAAGCAAAGAAATTTTAGTAGAGAGAAAAAACCGGAATCAAAACATTTGCAATAACTGTCTGTGTTAACACTTTAGGGACCCAAACCAGCCTCACGTCGGCTTGCACTTCCTTTCCTTGCTCTGATGCTGCAAACACACAGGCCACGGCGGACAGCACAACGGGCAGCATCTCCTGAGTACACAGCCTGGAGCGTGTTGTCTTCCCCTAGAGGCCACGCTGTGAGACACCAGGCGAAGACGACACTACGCTTTCCTTTAAGAGGTGTCTGTGGTTTGTTAACGCAGGTATTATTGAAAAACAGTTACGTCTTTAGAGAGAGAGAGTTATTCTTCATACTGTTACTGATGTCATTTCAACTGTGCTCCAAATGAACAGTGAAAAGACTAGCGAGAAACATTACACACTAAAATGTTAATACAGATTACCTCCATGTGGTATGATTATAGGTGATTTGAAATTATTAGTTTTATTTTTAATGTGCTTGCAATACTTTAAAAAATTGATAGATGTTATTTCAAGATCATTACCTGCAACTCCCCTTGCCACCACCCACTTGTATTTTTCTTTAAAATTAGTATTAACTGCCCCGGTGCAAGGCTAAGTTGTTCAGAACCAGAAGCCACATATGCTGAAGTTACTTGAGCAATCTCTGAAAAGAAAAGAAAAGAAGAAACTATGAATTCAAGACTATTAAACACTTCAGTAATTTCCTTACTTCGTTACTATACATACCAGGCTTCTTGTTTGATGTTCCAGATTTGCTCGCACTCCCAAAACTCTGTAAGGAAAAGATACTCTGTTTTATCATCTTCCAAAAATCCAAGTGTAAAAGTACAAAGGTTACTAGGAATTAGAAATATCCAATTCCCATGATGCTTGTTTCTTTAAATGAAGAGCCAAGTGACAATTAGCCTTATGTTAACCAAAAAGCTAGGAATCCAACACTTATAGAGTGACCTGGTCTGCTCAGAGTATAACAGACACCAGTGACTGAGGTCAGCACCCGCTGACTCAGCAGGAGAGCTTATTTCTGAATCTCTCCTGAACATTAAATGTCACCATCTGGGCCAAATACACCCCATTTATCGATGGGGTCAGGACCACATACAACCTGTGTTAAGGCATCTGTGTTTTGCTGCATAGGAGGCAGTTTTTCTTTTTCTTTTCTTTTTTTTTTTTTTGGCGATGTTTCTCCCAAACCTGACCTAAGAACAAAAAATCCTTACTCCAGCAACTATGACCTGTTTGACTTTATGGGCTAGGCTGGGCCGACCACATTTCCTCTTTTTAGAAATGTGAATAAGAAATGGGAAGAGTTGACATTTTTTCTGTTGGTCGACGCAGCTGTAGTAACAGTACTGTAGCAGAGTTGATGGTAGTCAAGAGCTAACATTTTTTGAGCACTTACTATGTAATAGACACTGTTGTAAGAGTGTTACATATTTAAATTCACTTTGAGAAGTTTCACAATAAACACTACTACGTAATTACGATTATCCCCATTTTACAGAGAAGGAATCAGGCACAGGAAGGCGCAGTGACCTGTCTCAGGCACCTGGCCTCTGACTGGTGCAGCCAGAAGTCAATCCAGAGTCTCAGAGGCTTTCCACTGAGGTCTGTGTGGTTCGTGGATCCCTGGGGGCAGTCCTGGAGCCCCGAGTCAGGGATGTGGGAGACGCGAGCTGTTTTCACAATATACTGAGACATTATTCGCTGACGCCTCAGCAGGAATCACGGCAGCGATGCCAAACTGTACTGGTATCAGAGTGCTCTTCGCAGTTGTGTGCTCCGAACAAAACAGACAAAGCCAGTTGCACTTAAGAGTCTCCTTGATCCAGCAGTAAAAGATTTATCAAATCTTAGTCCTTAAGTACACATCTGTTAAAAATTCTGTGTGACTAAATGAAGTGTGCTTAAAGCATTTCTGCTTCATAATGAAGTATGAAGGTGGACTCAAAGAAAAGCACACATGATTAAATTGTGAGCTAAACTAGCTTTTTCATGGAACAACATTTTTGTTTGAAAAAAATAATGAATGACAAATTATTCAGACTTGGGATTTAGCATACCTCAAAAATGAAGTAATAAGTTTGTTACTTTAAGAAAAGCAGCTGACAGATTTTTGCCAATGATAAAATTCAAGCTTTGAAGGGCAAACTAAAATTTTGGAAAACTTTGATCTACCACCATGAGCTGGACTTAAACGATTTTTCTATGAGATCAGTGGTGATGTTGACAAATGTGATTTTTTTTTATATTATATAATGAAATGTGTCAGAGTGCAGGGACTATTTGTATAACTCAGTGATTCAGTATATCCTAAACGCCCAATGAATGATGTTACTACACAATGCAAGGGAAAAGATCTAGTCAATGCATTAAAATCCAGTGAATTTTAATGTAACAATAAGAAATGTTCACTGATAGGCCTTCAGATTTCATGTTGCAACAAATCTATCACAACAAGTGAACACTTGGCAAGTTTTACTGTAGGAATATCAGGGAATAATATCCAGTTATCTGAAAATGTTTTTAATATGCTTCCCTGTTTTTTACCATACATGAAGTTGAATTTTCTTCATATATTTCAACCAAAAGAATGTATCACAACAGACTAAATACAGAAACAGATATGAAAATCTAGCTGTCTTCAATTAAGCCAAGTATTAGAGTGGTTTTCAAAAATATAAAACAATGCCACTCTTTTTATAAAATGTTTTTTTTAAAGTAATTTTTTCATGGGAAGCAAGTTATTTAAGTTACCATGCAATGAGTTTAATTTTGCTATTTTCAAATAAATTAAGAATATTTTTAGAATTTCAGTTTTAATTTCTAGTACAGAAAGCATCACTTGATATAGCCCCCCCTTCCCCAAACCCCCTTTGGAGTTCCCAGTAATTTTTAAGAATGTAAAAAGTTCCTGAGACCAAAAAGCTTCAGAACTGCTGCAGTAATCCACACTGCTGGAGGGACAGAAAACAGCAGGAACTCAGAATCCAGGCCGATCACACGAATGTCAGAGCCTTCCCTACTTTCAGTTCTGAGGCCCAGCCCTACCCTGCGGCTCTTGTTTTCAGCCTTTCATGAAGTCCTGCTCCCTGGTCTCTCTAGTAGGATCCCTGATAAATTCTCTCTTACTGGGGCTCTGTTTTAGGTATGAGCCTTGACAAACAAGAACGGAACGGTTCTGTTTCTATACCAAAGTAACTCTACCTCTTGGTCTTTGGGTTTGACATAATTTGACGGAAAAATTCCAGTCCTGTCTCCAATACTTCCTGTCCACCATTCTCCATCCTTCTGTGTCACCAATATTTCTTCACCTTCTGAGAAGGTCAGATCTCCAGGTTCTACACTCGAATACGGATAAAGTGCAATATACTCTGTAGGAAACAAAACAAAAGGGAACTAATTTTGTAAGATTGAAGAAGGTAAAAAAATTATATTAATTTTTAAGATACTGAGTAAATTCAGTATAAAAAGATCTTATGACTTAAGGAAACTTAATATAAAGAGATGTGTAAACAGAAAAAAAAAGAGTGAAGCAACTATTTAGTAATTTCTTTTTCTCTTTTTTTATAAGTCCTTCAACCTTGTTTTATTCTTAAAGTTGTTTTGGTTATGGTAGGTCTATTATATTTACACATTAATTTTACAGTCATTTTGTCAATTTCAAAATAAAGGTCTGCTTAGATTTTTTTTGTGTGTGTTGACTGGCTTTATTTTTTTAAAATTTATTTTAATCATTGTTCAAGTAGAAAAGATTGTTTGATTTCACATAAAGTTTTATTGTGAGATTTTAAAAAATTGTACCATCATCATCATCATATCAGAGAGAATAATCCCCATACTATAAAAACTTAGCAGTATCTCCACTTTATAGAGTCAAAATATGAGAAAGGTTTTCAACCTCTTCCACAAAATATATTTTAATTAGTTGCTTTCTCTTTAATTCTTTTATATATACAGTTATCAAAACACCCAATATTCATCCAACATCAATATTAGAGGCCAAATTCCATCACAAGGAGCCCGCCCCTAGCCCAGTGTGTGGCATGGAGCAGATGCTCGATAAACATTTCATAACGACTGACCTCAACTGACATGTCTGTGTTTTACTATTGGCTTTGGGTTGGGTTCCTGTGATTGTACTTTAGGAAAAGTAGTCAACGCCCAGGTTTTAGGGACCTTTCTGTTTCTTTTGAGTTTTAATGTGTCAGCATGGAATTTGATCTGTATATCATAACCTGGAGATGACCAGAAACACTATCTAGAACCTATTTATTATTCGAATTTCCAGTATTACTCAGTTTAGCTGATTTAGCCAAATAAAAATGATTACAAGGTTTAGGTCTGCTGCAACAAGCAAGGTCCTTTCCAAAACGCTCCTTCCTCACTGCCGTCCTAGGCTCCTCTCACAACACTCGTGCCACAGCCGCCGTGGGGCTCCAGCCGCGCCGGCGCCCCGGAGCTCCGGGCCTTTCACAGCGATGCCGCCTTGGCCCACACCATCCCTTCTGTCCACAGAGCCGCCTCTTCCTCTGTCACTGTGCAAGACCCTACTCACTGTTTAACAGGACGCAACACTGCCACCTCTGTGGGTTCATGGGTGCTGCCCAAAATTGTGTTTTGTTCACTCACTATAGAATTTATCCCATTTTCCCCCACTGCTCTGTGAGCTTGGAGGCTGTGTTTTATTCATCCCTGAATATCTGAGGCTGTAGCATGGAACCTCTAATTGTAGTAGATACTGGATAAATGGTTTAAGTCAGCATTAAACTGCTTTTCTTCAGCAACATAAACATAAAATGTACTTCAACTATTAACTAATTATATACTGAACATATACAATTCACTTCTAAGCCTACAGGGTGGGGCAAAAGTAGTTTACAGTTCTTTGTATGGAAAAATAACACAATAATTAATAAATAATAATATAAAACAAACTGTTTCACATACTCACAACTGTAAACCTATTTCTGCCCCACCCTGTACGTAACTATTAATGAAAAAAGTGCCTGCCAAGAAGGTAGACAATCTCTCATTTTTTCAGCACAAGATCAAAACAATTTTAGTCAAACAATCCTAAGGGCTATAAATATTTTTCTTTGTAATATTTATGATAAAGTGTATTTTGCTTTCAAATCCTATTTAATGATTTATATGGTACACTGTAATTAAAATGAGATTGGTAAATAACTAAATGTACTAAAGTTTCTCTATAGCCTAAACATCTATAATCTGGATATATAATAGCAGAAAAACAAAAACCTTTGTGCTATCTTATTGAAATGCTTTTTATTTCTGATCTTATTTATCAAGGCAGTATACGGCGAATTTTTACAGTACTTACTTTTGAAAACTGCCAAGTACATTCAGTCATATTTTTTCTATATCCTCAATCTTTGTGTGAAATAGGCAAGGGGCAGGTTTTCCTAACCTCACTTTACCACTGAAGACACACAGGCAGGGAGAATGACAACTGTGGGAAGTCAGATCATTGGTCAGTAGCTAATCTGACTCCCACCTAATTTACAAACTGTCAAGAGCTCACCATCTCCAACTGTACAGGCTGCAGAGGTAGGTTTCTTGTTTACAGCTGCATACAAAGCTTCTGGCCTGCCAAATAAACACACACACAGATTAAAAAAAAATGATGAAAAAGAAAAGGACATCAACAATCAAAAAACAAAAAGGTATTTGATGAATACAGCAGGTGTTTAGCAGCTCATTCTTTCTAAAATTAGTCTAAATATTGTCTCAATACACAGGCTATAAAATACTCTCATACACAAAATCTTAGTGGATTAAGGACTACCCAATATAAAACTTCTAAACTTTTAATAGATTAATTTCAACATGACTATCAATAGTTTTTCAAATGTGCAATTATTTTGCCTTTCTAAAGGAACGTGACACAAATGCATCAGTAAGTGGGCAGTTATTTGGTAAAGCACATGTGGCTCAGTGTAAGGAAAACAGGGATCATATAGACATTTTATTATTTGTTTAGCACATACTACATTAGAAAATTTATATTATGTTTGTTATGTTGTGTTATGTTATGTTATGTTATATTACTGGGCAACATCAGACAATAATAAAAATAACACAACTAAATTTCTAATTTTACCCAGGAAGCTGTTCTCAAAAATCGGGCAAAAGTGCTGAGTGTAAGAACCAGACATCTGCAGGATGCACCGAGGCTGCCCAGGACTCGTGAGCAGGTTATACAGGGAGGCCGTTTTCGGGCAGAGTGGGCCTTACTAACTGTAACTCACGGTGACAACGGAATGGACTGCACTGTTCAGTGCTAACTCTCCGTGACTGTGGGTTTTCAGGTTACATGCCTTATCTGTTAGACAAGGTCAGTAACTGCATGAAAAGTCAGAAGAAATGCCCTTTAAAAAGAATTTTGACTTAAGTTTTTTTCTCTGTAAAATACCATGGAATTTAAATAAGCTAACTCCTATAAAGGGCCAGCATACATGTGTAACTGTTGTTACTGTTATTATTACACACTTCTAAATCTAAAATTCCACATCAGTCTGAAAAGTGAATTTCAGCATTTGAAAGAAAAACTGATACACGGAATCTCAGCAAAGAGTTTAAAAAGATAATTTAGTGTATTCTTGTCATTCAGTTAATTAAAAAAACCTGAAGATTAAGGTTATTCCATAAAGCCTGGCAAAAACAGCAGAATCAGACCTCGAACTTTTTGATTTCCAAAGACCAGTCCCTTTTCATTAAATCGGACTGCTTTTCTATACTGACCACAAAAAACACAAGAGACAGTTCGCCGTGGCCATACCAGAGTACTTATTTCCTTGTATCACAGAAATGTGATGACCTGTCTCCCCTATAGACTGGGAACTAAAGGCCAGGGACCTTCTTTAGTTTCTGCTTTTTGTTCATTTGAAAGGGTACTTGTTTGCTCCTCTCCTTATTCACTGAATTGATATGACTGAGCAGCGACTATGCATTAAGATTATACTAGGCAGTGTTCACTTTTGTATTTGGATATTAAAAATGATTCCAACCGAAAAAAATAAAAATAAAAAAGATTACAGCCGTCATGGAAAACTTAATAAAACAAATTTTTTAAAAAGAAGATGCAGACCTAATTAATTAGGTTTATGACCTAATAAGGAGTATGTAAGGAAGTAAGTAAATAACTACAATGCTGTGTGTTGTGAGTGATAAGAGGGGCGATCTTCCTGGAGCTCTGGAGGCCCAGAGTGGGAATGCCCCACTCGGCAAAGAGGGGGCCCTCAGTAAAGGTTTATTTAAATACTGACAATTTAAAGTAAAAACAGGAGAGAAATGCTCCAAAGGAAATGAAAAGTAATCTTGCTAAGTGACCTGATGGTACAAAGAAAACCACAAATGTGCAATTTTAAGCACTCTGAAAACTTCCAGAATCTGAAATAACTGTAGTAAATGATACTCTAAAACTGGTACAGATACCTGAACGCCCTTTTCCACTCTGGGAATGGCCGACCTCTCTGTTGTTCAAACCCAAATGTAGACTTCTTGTTTTCCTGCACAGCCAGCCATACACACTCACTCACTCACTGGTGGAAACACCAACATCCACACCTCATGTGAAAACACAGAAATGCTTACTCTTCCCGCTTGACTTCACTCCCAGGGATGATTTTGACATAAGATTTTGGAAACCACCCTCTTCCTCCATGGACCTCCCCAAACCACCAATTTTCTTGTTGCTCCAAGACAGTAATAATATCATGTTTTGAGAAGTTCAAGTGGTTATCTTTCTTTGCAGTCCAGGAACAAAGGGCCTGTGCTTTCAGGTTTTCTACAACCTGTCCCTGTAAATACAAAACCACAAAATTAAAAAACCAAAGATAACCATGATTTCTGTTTCCTAGGAGGTAACATACCCCCTGTTCAAACAGCAGACCACTGTGGTGGGGTGGTGTCTTATTACCAAAGGTGACTTAAGATAACCTTAATCTACTGGCTGAAAAGTACCTGTGTCAGACAACTATCTGAGGAGCCTTCTGTTAAGTTAAAGACTGAACACCCACCATTCCGGGAAGCACCCTGGCATTAAGTATCACTGGTGTGGGAGGTGAACACTGGCTACTCTCTGCATAAGAGAACAAATGAAAAGGGCAAGAGTTGCTGCAAGCCCTTCCTCCCCTGCAGGGTCCAATGTCTCCTCGCTGCAGTGGATGCACTTTACTCAACTAGGAATGGAGATGTGGTCGTGCTAAGCCTCCCCAGTCTTCTGCCTTGTGTCCTCTCTGTATTCTTATTCTTCTTTCTTTCCCTCCTGTCTCAGAGAAGGAGTGGTTTTGGTTGGTTGACAAGGCTAACTCTTCATCCAAATTTCTTAAAAGAAAGAACAGTGTTGAACTTCTTTCCAATTTCACCCCTCAACCCATTCTAACTTAGGTTCTGCACCCATTACACTACTGAGCCTCCTCTTGACAAGGTCATTGATGACAACAAAGCCAAAAGCTTCTCCTGAACTTCATTTTCTCTGGTCTCTGAACAGTGCTGATGTAACTAAAACCCGTGGAGTTGCTGAGGCTCTCTCTCTGGTGATGGATGGCTCTTCTTTGGTCCAGCCTCTTTCCTTTCCTGTTTCACGTGTTTTCCCTAAACAATTTTATTTATGCCTCTGACTACTCAAATCTACATCTTAATTTTAACTTCATCCCTGAAATATGGACTTGGAAATCACACTGCCCACTGGGCTTTCCCGCCAGGATGTCCTTAATAGATACCTAAGGTGCAAGTCTGAAAAGCAATCAGGTTAGAACCTACCACACTCACTTCTCCTACAATGACTGCTACCCAAGGCATAATAATCACCACCCTTTCAGATACTCAGACTGAAGATCCTGAAGAGGGATCTGTAACTTCAACTTCTTCCTTCCTTTCCACATTCAATGGACTACCAATTTTATGTCAATTCCTAATGCTGCTAAAAATCTATCTCCTCCTCTGTACATTTTCCTTACTATGACACTGATTCATTACATCAGCTCTTATTACTGAGCTGTTGCAATATCTTCCCTTACCTGGTCTCCTTCCTTTACTTCCTTCCACCAATCTGGCCTCTACACTGCTGCCAGAGTTATCGTTCTAAAATATACATCTAACTCTTCTCTTAAAAACCTTTTGGGGCTTTTCACAGCCAAGGTGCTTGTATGGCATTACATGGTTCACAAATAAACTTCAACCTTTATCTCAAACTTCACTTCTTAACTCTTTCTCCATCAATCCTGTACTCTAGCCACATTATAAATAATTCTCTTATTGTAAAATACCTTTGTTATAACACTTCTCATACTTTACCATTGTTTATATGTCTGTCTCATGAGATTATGACTTCTTAATGGCAGGGATTTTTCCATTAAATTTCTAGCACACAATAAAATGCCTGGCACCTATACTCACACAATAAACATTGTTTGAGTGAAAGTGAAATTAACACTGTTTGAGTGAAAACTGATGAAGTCTGCAATTCTTAAAAATAATGTTAATGTAACAATGCTTGCAATGGTTACATCTAAGTCAGAGGTTAAATATATATACCACAGTTTCCACACAAATGACTTATTTAAGAAAAAAGCAAACGAACAAAAAACCCCCAAAACCTCCAAGCCCAAATCTCTACTTATGACAATTACAAATTAAGAACACCATACTCTGATTGTAAAAAATGGTATTTTGACTTTGGAAGTCTTAGCTGCTGTCAACTTGACATTATGAGAATGAATTGTTGAAAAGCCTCTAAGTAATAATAATTTCTTCATGTCACATGATAATGATAAGAACAAAATTGAATGCTACAAATGCTGGTTAAATGCCTTTGTACAAACATCTTCCTTCTGTTTTACACGAAGCAGGAGCAATGTCAAAGAATAAAGCACACAAGAATTGAAGACACATACCTGTCCATGAATAGGTGACACAGAACCAGGGGACACGGTGCGAGTAAAAGCTGATTTTTTCTGCCACGAAGTATTAACAGTTAGGTTTGAAAAAGATACATTTTGATAATTAGTCGCTGATGCCGGCTGATTTGAAGACTGTGATCTGTAAATATAACACTTTGATATAAGTATATTTAATTGTTTAAGATCTAATGAGATACTACCAATGTGTCAATTTGTATATAATATACACAATATTTAAACACAACTTGAGGAAAAAAGAATTCATGAACAAACTACTGACCTATGTTTTAATCAATTTCAGTATTAAAACTAAAACAGGAGATACTCTTGGAGAGTACAGTCCAGGTTAAAACATGATTAAGTAGCAGGCTTAACATAAATACATATTAGGTATCCGTGCATCTGCAGAGCTATATAAACTCCACAGTTAGCTAAAAACTTACTCAGAAGAAGGTGAGGTAGCAGATAAAGATACTGTAGGAGGAAGTAAGGCCTTCTTAGGAGATACAGATTTTTCACTTGATGGCATTTTTTCTACATAATTGCATGGAAACCAGCCAAAATTTCCTTGGAAACTACCATAAAGCCAACCAGGTTCTCCTGTGGTTTTTTCATCAACCTATGGAAACAAACAAAAAAAGGTTAGCAGTGGTTAGAAAGCCACACATTTACAATGGAGAGTGATGCAGACTTGAACACAGCCATTGCAACACTGCAAGAGCTGATCTGATGACCAAGATGGTCACCAGGCGGCTAACGGGTGGCCGTGTACGCCACATGGACATGCTAGACCACTGGGTGCTTTGCATCCCAGTCGGGACACAGCAAGATTCTTTGTGCTATTCAGAGTGGCGTGCAACGTAAAACGTATGGATTGTTTATTTCTGGAATTTCCATTTACTATTTTTAGACCATGGTTGACCATGGGTAACCGAAATCACAGAAAGTGAAACTGAAGACAACAAAGACATTACATTGTATTCAGCTTATGTGAAAAAAGACTTTGTTTCCTACCTGTATTATATCCCCAGAATTAAAACTCATCTCATCATGGTTCCTCGCTTCAAAGCGATACAAAGCTCTGTAATTCACTAAATCACTAGCTGGCTCACCTAGAGAGAAGATAATAGTCATTATTTGCTACTTTCATTTATACATCTTTGCTCTGACTCAATAAAGAACACTTAAAACCTGAAAGAAAAAATTAAGCATCAGTGTGATGAAAATCCATTTGTACGTCTTGTTAGGATTTAAACCTCTTGATGTCACAGAGTCACCGTCAAAGCAAACAAGGACGCTCCTCGGACGTAAGGCTGCAGGCAGTAAAACAAAGAGAAAACCTGCAGGGCTCCCCATGCCCAGGGACCTACAGGAGCCGTGGAGGCTGAGCCCTGCCAAGTGAAAGGAGACTACGGAGCAAGCGGCTTAGTTTGATCCGTGAAGTCAAGAACATAACAGGGAAGAAGAGCACAAAAAGGGAGGCCACACGTGAGAAGATCAGCATTAAGCATGGTCGACCGAAGGAAGAGCTATACATCTGTCAGTATGGTTCCAGAAGAACAGCAGAAAAGCTCACACATACACTAGACTTGATAAGACTAAAAATATTTTACTTCGTTCATTTGTAGAACAAATGCTTTAGCTTATAAAATTTTTAACACATTGAATTGCTGAGGATTTAATTATTTGTATATCTTGTATATCTGAAAAAGAAATAATAATAATAATAATAATAATAATAATAATAATAATAATAATAATAATAGCAGCAGCCCTGATTGGTGTGGCTCAGTGGGTTGAGCACTGTCCTGCTAACCAAAAGGTCGCTGGTTCAATTCCCTGTCTGGGCACATGCCTGGGTTGTGGGCCAGGTCCCCAGTTGGAAGCATGAGAGAGGCAATCAATTGATATTTTTCTCCCTTCTCTTCTCTTTACAAGTAAATATAATCTTTTTTTTAAAAATATAAAAGTATTTTAAGAATTGACTCTGAGGTACATCAGAAACAAAGTATATATTCTAAAAAAATTTCAATGTACAAAGACGTAAAATTTTATTGTTTCATTAAAATAAACAATTTAGTTACAGTGGCTGAACAAATATTTAAAACTGTTTACTTCAATTACGAAAACCAGGCCATGGTCTGTTCATAATGATGATTACTTTCTTTTCTCAATGTTGTTTTAAGATTTCTATCCTCAGTCTGTTTTAATGAGCCTACCCAGTTCTCTTCCAAGTTTAATTTAGAAGTTTTTTCTCTGATTCTAAGATAATCATCCGTTTTAATTTTCTTTTTTTGCTTCTCATCAGAATCTTTTTTTCTTTTGTTGGTCTGTCTCAGAAAAATAAAATCTTTTATTTTTATTTTTATCCTTACATCGTTTCTCCTCGGTTTTCTTTTCCTCTTCTTGAACTTTTTCTTGTGTCTTTTCTTCCTGGAGTCGCTTTTGTTTTTCTTCTCCCTCCTTTCTAAGATTTTCTTTCCATAAATTTTCTTTTCCTTGCTTTGCTTTCCTTTACATAAAAGAGAAAGAGTTTGCACAATGTCCTAAAATTTTTTAAATGAAAATATAATACATCTCGCTCCTGTCAAGCTTAAACAATATTTTAGATATAAAACATATTATATATAATCTTATATAATTATTTATTACATAGCAAGGAGATATGAGTAGCAGGATACGGAGAAGCAGAGTGCAAGGGAAAACCAGTGAACTGAGGAACCCTGGACAAACAGATGGGCTGAGGAGTATGACTGACAACTTCCCCACACCCTCAGATTCCTTCCTGCCAGCCAGCCTCCCAAGCCACACCCCTCCAAAAGAGGAAAAGACCTGAAATGGAATTCTTAAAAAAAAAAATCTAAAAATTATATCTTAATATCCTTCCCTTCTCTGCAGATTCTGCATGAGGACTGCCTTCCAACTCTTACTCCCATCGTCCCAGCTAACACCCCTGAGCCTGGAGTTTAGTCACTGCTGTGGTAATAGGAAACACTCAGATAAAGTATCTGCTTTTTATTTGATTGCTTCAAAGTCTTTTTCACTTGTTAGATAATAGAGCATTTTCCCTCTAGAAGTCCATGCTTGTGTACATGTTTCTATGAGTTCTGATGAACCTATACCTTGGTATCCAGTTGGTCAAGGTAATCTGTGCCCAGGCTTTGTTATTTTAGTATTATAACTAATGCTCACTATAGTTCTTCCTTGCATATATTTTTATGAAATTACTGGGAGACAGAGTTGTCACCACTAAATTTAGGAACTTTTCCAAGTCTCAGCACACACTAACGGGGCAGTGAAAACTTAGATACATCCCTGGGACCTGCAGACCGGCCTTTTATGCTCCAGCAAGACAGAAAACTTGGCTGAATTCCATGTCTCTATGCCTATAACCCCTGGCGGAACTTAAAAATCCTGGATTAATTCCAAAAACTGTAGACCCACGGAGTCACCACCCCTTCCCCCTCATCCTCAAACTGTCTTATTCTTTATACTCCTGGTTCATTATCCTATAACTTTAAGCTTCCTCTCAATCCATTGCAAATCCTCCTACACCCTCTATCACTTCACAAAATGCTTCCCAGCACTTTTTATAAGTTGAGGGCCCTGCTTCTCTTGTAGTTCTTACTTGATTTCATCTAAAATTCCCTGTCCCACTTCCTAGTAACTTTCCCTGATATTGTCTCAAGTTCATAATGACCCAATCCAGCCTTTATTTGGATTCCCACAGCATTGTAAACACCACTATCAGAGTAGTTGCCACATATTTACTGGGATAAAGAAAACACCAGAGAGTTAAGAGAATATAAAATTAAATTTTGGTCAAGTTTCTTATGTATGAGTCAGTGGATGAGAAACTTTTCCAGAACTGAAAGATGCCTCAGAAGCTGGACGGAGGGCAAAGAGGCCACATCTATACTGTGAAAACCTGACTATTACCAACAGCTTGAGACGGGGGAAACAGACAAGACATAGTATTAAGACCTAGCTCTGGACTGATCCTACACGTGCTTCTGTTCTGATCTCTTTCCTCCATTACAAGTAGGATAATGACTGAGGATGATGAGTGAAATGAAAATGTGTACCACTATTGCGGTGTGTTGCCCTAAAAGACACTGTGAGCGGTGATGAAGCAGTGACAAGATACTTGTATGTGTCAACAGAAAATTCAGTCACCACACAGTTCCCTTGGGCAATATTACAAGGCACAAGTTAAGTGGCAAATAAGAGCCTTAACAGTTTGAACTTCACTGTCTCTACTTCTCTATTAGTCTAGCATCTTTTGTTAGGGGCCACAAATGTAGGGGTCTTGGAGTAAAGAGTAATATAGCTATTTGTTTAGCTGTCTGAATTTCCTACTAGAATTATGTATGAAGAATCTAGGAGCAAAAGTAACCCAGTCTATCTACCTGTATCACACACTACAGCACCCACTCAAATTAAAATGTGTTGGGAATGACCATTCTGAAGCCACTAAGCAAAGAGGCTGAGGCCTGGCCCTGGCCAGTGTGGCTCAGTTGGTTGGAGCATTGTCATGTAACCTAGGGGTTGAGGGTTCAACTCCTGGTCAGGGCACATGCCTACATTGTACATTCATTTCCCAGTCAGGGCACTTATGATCTCCGGTTTGGGTGCATATGGGAGGCAACCAATTCATGCTTCTCTTTTGCATCGATGTTTCTTTCTCTCCCCTCCTGCATCTCTCAAAGCAATGAAAAAATGTCCTTGGGTGAAGAAGAAGGGGAGGGGAGGGGAGGGGAGGAGAGGGAAGCAGGAGGGAAGAGAGGCAGGAGGGAAGAGAAGCAGGAGGGGAGAGAAGTGGGAGGGGAGGGGAGAGAAAAAGAGGCCTGCTATATGGTAAGGTGTCCTTCCGGCCTCCCAATAACTATTAGCTCTTTTGTGGGTATTACTCCTGTGCTCCAAGGAAAAGGAATGCTGGTTCATTAATATTTGTTAATTACACTAATTTTTGACACTAGAGAACTTGAGAGAAACAGAAACGTATTAGGAACAGGCTCTTGCTAGCAGAAAAATAATAATGCAAAGCCTCTAAACCAGCAATTTTCAGCTGATGTGCTGCAAGAATTTTTGAAACATGCCATACCTGACTAATTGGTCAGCGGGACTGACCTCTTTCCTTTAGATTATCAAACAAAAAATGACAACAGCCAGCACGACAAGAGCTGTCCAATATGAATGAATCAAACTTATACTTATTTTTTTGGCCAGATCAGCAAAAAATATGTTTTTTGGTGTGCCAAATTTTAGTACCTTATTTACGTGTGCCATGAGATGAAAAAGGTTGAGGATCGCCACTCTAAATGAATGGCTCTGTGTTTCACACAGCACACTGCCCTCCTCCTCTTTGCTGTAAATGAAGGCAACCGATACATCTCCGTGGCAGAGACTGAACTGCACAACACGGAATTCTGCACTCGGTCTCATCACTCCACGGAATGAAGTATTTAGGTTTTTTTTCATCTTTTAGGTCTGACTCCAAAGTTCAGATTTTTCACTAATGAAACATAAAATTGGTTACTCTAAATTCAGTCCCTAAAAGAAGTACTGAATTTCTAAAATTAAGAATCTAATTAGCGTCTTAGGATAATCCTTTTATTTATTCTTTATTCCCGGTAAATTTTCTTAGTCAAACTAGAGATATAGGCAACAAAGTTAGAATTCCAATAGCAATGCAGTATAACATATTTATCAGTTACAATACCTTATAGCCTCATCTTCTAGTTTCTTTTTCTGTATTAGCTCTGACTTTTTTCTTTCAATTTCCTTCAACTTGTTATGCTTGATCTTATGAAGTTGTTCAAGGGCTAACTGCTGTGTATTGTAGCTTTTTCTCAGTTCCTAAAGAGAAAATAAAAATAAGTCAATTATGCCACTGATTTAAATATTTTCTGATATGATGTGTCACTTGCATTAAAAGACAAAAATCTTAAAGCAAGTTAAACTAGAGTAAAAATGTTAAAAGTTTTAAAAATATCTACATTATTAAAAAATAATGGAATACAATATATATTTTTAACCCACATAGCCACTGAGGACAAATACTTGTTAAAATCATCTACTTTTGTACTAATTCATTTGTAAGAAACACAGAATCTTTACAAGCCAATTCTCTGAATTGGTACTTCATTTTCAATATAAAAACAACGTATTAAAATTGTGGGAAAACAATTTGCTTGCTATAACACTTTAAGAGGAATTTTGTTCAGTTGTATTTTTGACATTTATGTAGTTTAATCAAGTACCCATAACTTTAATCCAACAAGATCTTGAACCAACCAAACACAGAAGCAATTAGTAAATAATTTTAAGAATTAAAAATAGTAAAGATAATGTCTACCTAAAACCATGACTAGAATGAGTCAAAATAATGAAAAGTATTCAAAACAGGAACTGAAATAAACAAGTGCTTATTGAGCACCTAATTCAATGCAAAGTGCTATCAAGATTCGCAAGGAGTCCAGGCCAAGGCCACCTAACTCCCAGATACAGTCTTCGCTTTTAAAGACTTCTCAACCTCAAAGTTGAGGAAGGTGCCAAAATGTGGGATGCAGATGAGTGCTTTAGCAGAAATTTGTGAAGACCTGTTCAGCACTTTTCCCCTCCTCTTTTAACGACATCCTTCCTGTTTGGGAAACCGATCCCCCCTTCTACTCCCCTCTTCTATGTGGCTTTGATGACTGTCAAATTCAGTGCTCCAATCACAGCACTGCACCTCTCTGCCAGAATGTTTGGCCCAAAGGACTCACATGTGATGCAAGAAGAGCCCAAATCCTTTCCTGGGATTCAGATTACTGAAGAGGAGAGAAAGGAATCTTTCTCTCTAAACTCATTAAACTGAGATTAAGATAAAGCTGGAGCTGCCACTACCCAGTGAGGCCATCAGGGACAGGAATGAAATCAACAGAGGACAGGGAGAGGCAAAGATCAGGAACAGAGGTGCAGAGAGAGGGAGTGCTGGAGGGACGAATGTCCAGTCTCAGTCCTCAGTGTCTAGGAAGTGCGCCGTCAGCAGCACTGCTATTGTCTTGGTGAGTGGTCCCAGCACTCTTTAAATAACCCTCTCTTTAGCTTAACTATTTTGAACTGAGTGGTTTTTACTTGGTACCTACAGAATCGTGAACAAAAGAGTAGAAAAGGGCTGTAGTCAAAAAGAGGGGAAAGAAAACAAAAACAAAATCCCCACCAAACCCTAAAGTTATCAGAACAAGTTTCATGGTAAAGGTGGGAACTTAGTATTTAGATAGAATGTTTTAAGTATTTAGATAGAATGTTTTAGTAAAAAATGTTGGGCATCTACCTACACACAATAACCAACCAATCAACCAATCAACAACCCCCCCCCACCAAACCCCAAACTCTCTTCTTTTCAGAAATAAAATATTTTAGAGGTGAACCCTTTTAACTTGATTGAAATGGCAGAGCTGATCTAACGGTGTGGTGTCCTGAGACTATGTCCAAAATGTCTGAGATCAACGCTTGCAGCTTAAGCCAGCCAGTAAATGCTGCATTCACAGCAAAGTGTCCGCACATCTCAGCTTCCACAGTTCTCTCTGCTGCCCCTTCCACTAGGTTCTGTCAACAGTAATAATGCAGTGGGTGAAAGCTACAGCGAAGCCGTGTGGTTTAGTGACAAGGACTCTGGGAGCATGGGTCTGGACCGAGGCTGCCAGGTCTGAATGAGGCTCTGTCAGGGACCAGCTGAGTAAACCCAGACAGTTACGTTACCGTTTCCTCATCTGTAAAATGGGTCCAACTACAGGACACACTTCATAGTATTGTGAGGATTGAATGGGTTGATACAAGTAAAGTGCTCATGATGGCGCTGGGCACATATGCTTATTACTGGCTGAAATCATAAATGAGGAGAATTGTGAGATTAAAAGGAGAGTAAAGAGAAGCCAACTTAATATCTGATCTTAACATGGCTGCAAGGTTAGCCCTCCCATTTATCCTTTAAAATACTGCTCCAAGTCTTCCTTTTCCAGCCCTTTTTCAGGCCTGAGTTGATGGGCTTCCTTGCGCTCCACAAGGCATTCTATGCATTTCTCAATCACAGCCAAACATCCACCATCACCTCCTCCACTGGAACAAGTTTCTTGACAGCAGGACTATCTTTATCAAAGTGTTCCCACCCAAGACAGGGTCTGGTACACTGGAGATGTTTAATTAGTATTTACTGGTAAATGGTAGCTCATAAACAATAGGCTATGCATATTAATAAGATCCGAAGAGCACCACAAGACTTGCCACAAACATTTCCTCTGATTCATACCATCGGACTCACTCCTCTGGGTTAGTCCCTGCTTCTGGGAGGTCCTGGTTAACCAGGTCAGTTAACCGAGAACAAGTAAACTAACTGGCACTCACAAACAGAGCTGCTCTGTCTTAACAGACTGACGGATGATCTTTTTCAGTTTAAGGAAGTTCTCTTCTATTCCTAATATGCTAATAATTTTTAAATAATAAATAGGTGTTAAACTTTATTAAATACATTTTCTGCATCTAAGACGAGCATACCATTTTCCTCCTTTATTCTGTTTCAATGGCAAATTACAATGAAGATTTTTACATGTCAAATCATCTTTGCATGGTTAAGTAAGATAAATCCAACTTGGTCATTGGTCATAAGGGATTATCCTTTTTATAATTTTTTTTAAAGATTTTACTTATTTATTTTTAGAGAGGGAAGGGAGGGAGATATCGAGAGAGAGAGAGAGAGAGAGAGAGAGAGAGAGAGGGAGGGAGAGGGAGAGAGAGAGAGAAACATCAGTGTGTGGTTGCTGGGGGTTATGGCCCGCAACCCAGGAATGTATCCTGGCTGGGAATCGAACCTGAGATACTTTGGTTCCCAGCCCGAGCTCAATCCACTGAGCTACGCCAGCCAGGGCTCTTTTCATAAATTTTTGCATTCAACTTTTTAATTTTGTTTTTTATTTCTGCATCTGTTAAACTAACCTACAGTTATCCTTTTTCCTATGGCTCTTATCAGCTCTTGATATGCTAATGATATGGTAAAGTGTGGTAAGCTTCATATGGTAAACTGAGACTATTCTCTTCTTTATATTGTGAAACAGCTGTGTGAGACTGGAATTACTTGTTCCTTCAGTAAAAACTCAGGGTCTGGATTCTCTTTCGGGGAGTCAGTTTTGAGTCATTTTTGGCAAACTGCAATTTGTTCATTTTACATTCATGTGCAAAAATCTGTCCTCTTGTTTTTTATCTTGTTCTATAAAACAAGATAATATCCTCTTGTTTTTTAATGCTTGCAACATACTTAGTCATATTTCCTTTTCACTTCCAATTTTCTTTATTTCTGCTCTCTTTCTTTTTAAAATCAGTTTTGCCAAAGGTTTGTTAATTTTATTAGTCTTTAAGAGAGTCAAATTCTGGCTTTCTTAATTCTCTGTATTAAATATCTGTCTGCTGTTTCATTAATTTCCTTCTACTTTTTTTGCTTGCTTTTGTTAGTCTTCTATAGCTTCTTACATTGAACACTCTTAAGTTTTCAGTTTTGTTCTCTTACTATAACCATTTAATGTCAAATCCTGACTTATCTGGGTTGAATTTCTGCTCTTTCACTTACTAGTTGTGTGAGCTTGGGCATTTGTGTGCACCTAATTACACAGCCTCAAAATTTATTTGTTTAAAAAATAATCTAACAAAAATAGAAAAGACAAATCCAAAATCACAGTGGAAGATTTTCTCATACTAATCTCTGCAACTGACAGAACAAGCTGATGTGGAAATCAGCAAGTCCAATCACCTTGTCTTTACTCTTCACAGGAGGGTCACAGACAATTCAAAGTTGTTTTTAATAGAATTCAGGGGTCCAGAACAAAATTAATCTTTACTTTCACTAACATCTATCTGAAATATAGTATTTTCCTCAACTCTAAATATAAGCAACAACCATGGTAATATTAACTGTACTGGTGATATTTTTCACCACCAGAAATCACAGGTATTTTCATATTATAGTATATTTTGAGTTCAAAATTACAACATTATTTTATCTGTCACCAGATCTTGTTATTTAGTTCATTAATAGAGAAGTACATAATTACTATTTCACAAATTTGTTTTTAAAGATTTTGATTTATTTTTTAGAGGGAGGGGAAGGGAGAGAATTAGAGAGAAAGAAACATTGATGTGTAAGAGGAACATCGATTGGTTGCCTGTCTCTTGCACACTCCTCAGCCTGGGAACTGGCCCACAACCCATGCACGTGCCCTGACTCGGAATCAAGCTGGCGACTTTTCAGTTAGCAGTCCAGCGCTCAACCCACTGAGCCACACTGGCCGGGGCACAAATTTGTTTTAAAAATACTTTGTGACTCTTACAATTAATTTTCTTTATAATCTTATGTATTTCATTTTATACATTTAAAACATTATTCTGAGGAATCCAGAGAGTTTATCAAACTGTTGAAGAGTCCAGGGCACAAAAATGGTTACGAACCTCTGCTTTAGAAACAAACATTTACTACCAATGTCGCCCAGCAGTTTTCAGGTCCACACCTCCCACTATTTTATCCCATCTTGGAGAATAGAGGTTCCCAAGGGAGATGGAAAGGAAGCCACAGCTTTGGTGCTGACAGATTCTACTTTCCCTCTAGGGAAAAGTACCTCCCCAATCATCCAAAGTCAACACACTAAAGATATCTGAGAGATTCACAATAATCTCTTCCTTGATAAGAATAAAATATGTGTATAGCACATACTAGCTCACAAAGCACTTCCATATTTATGCTCTCATTGAGCCATCACTAGACTCTGCAAAGAAGGAAGAGCAGACATTGTCAGCTTTTGTAAATGAAGAAAGCAAAGTTTGGAGGTTAAACGATGAATAGTTACACAACCAGCAAGGGGAATGAGTAAGAGCAGAACACCTTTCTTTAGATTCCTAGGCCAGTACTTTTTTCATTGCTCCTCACTGCTGAAGATACAACATTGCATGAATTTCCTTAATAGAATTATGCTATCAAATGTCTCATCTTTTTTTAAGGACTGTAGTTATTATTTTACAATAATAATGTTCCTACTGTTTTCCTGTACTAAGCTTGCACGCTCCACCCCCACAGAAACGTCTACTTCTCTCTGCCGAAATTTCCTAATCTTCCATTCATTCTCCTCATTACCAGCTAGTAACTGTGCCTCATTAAACCATGAGACAAGAACTCCATCTTTCCATCTCAAAATCAATAAAACTTCCTGCATCTGCACCCATCTTCTTCTAGTCTAGTTGGAGTTACACCATAAGAAAGATTCCTGTAATGGTCCAATCTGCTTCTGATTTTAAGTCTTGAAGCTGTCAACTTCCCGCTATCCACGAACAAATTTAGCTGCATTCACACCCATTTTTTCCCACTGTGTTAAACTGGAAATATTCTTTTTATCTAATCCTTCAATCTATGCTCTGGATTATCTTAATCTGCTCCCTAGGGACTTTGCTCTATCAACCACCATTTTATTCTCAATCTCAGTCTCTCTCTCACTTTCCTACTCTTTCCCTTTATTCTCTCCTCAAATCTGTCTTCCTTTCCACCCTTCCTTTTACATTTAAAAAACAGCCTTTACTTAAAAAGAGTAAATTACACAGTCAGAAATATTCCTAAAATCTGAAATACATGGTTCTCTGATGTTTTTTGACTAATTCTGTGTCTCATAAACTTTATACAGTAACCCCAAGTGCTGCATATATTCTGACTGAGAACATTCAAAACATGTATTTACTGCCACCCACTATGCGCCACACACTAGGTGCTGGTAACTCAGCAGTGAAACATTTGGCTTGAGTCAGGCAATTGTCATTAAGACAATGGGTTGGGTACGGCTGCCTAACTATCTCTCCCTTCCATTCTTCTGTTCTAACAGAACTGGTCTCTTCACCATGCAGCCATACCCCTCACAGAAAGCTGACACCACCTCCAAGGCTGATTCAGTTTTGCTTCCCTACTCCCACTTTTATTGAGGTATAACTGACAAATATAAATTGTATATGAGACCTGTCCGGAAAAAAATCCAGCCATTGTTAATATAACAAGAACAGTTTGTATGTCATTGATGTAACCTGGCAGCTGAGAGTGGACTGGAATGCACATGTGTGAACAATGACAACTTCACTGTACTAGTCAGCAGAGGCAGTAGATGCCGTTGAGTGAGCATGTGCACTGGGTGGCCTTTGCATTTCCAGTTTAAGTAACCGTGGTTTTCAGTTGGGAAGGTGTTATCCATCATGGGTACACCCCTCCAGGCCAAACAATGAATAAGAAGTACTGCCTCAGTGTTCTTCATCGGTTGAGAGATGCAATATGACAAAAATAGCCAGTTATGGGTAACTGGTGATTGGCAACTTCATCACAACAACCCTCCCACTCATGCATCACTTCTCCTGTAGTTTTTGGCAAAACATCAAATCACCCAGGTGACTCAGCCCCACTACAGCCCAGATTTGGTGCCCTGCAACTTCTGCCTTTTTCCAAAACTAAAATTACCTTTGAAAGGGAAGAGATTTCCGACCATCAGTGCAATTCAGGAAAATGCAACAGGGCAGCTGATGGCAATTCCAACAAAGGATTTTGCAGAGTGTTTTGAACAGTGGAAGAGACGCTGGGAGAACTGTGTGAGGTTCCAAGGTATCTACTTTGAAGGTGACTGAAGCATCACTGTCCTATGTACAATGTTTCTTGTATCTTGTTTAATAAATGTCTCTATTTTTCATACCTTCTGGGGAAACCTCATATATTTAAGGTATATACCTCGATGCTTTAATATACATATTCACTGTGAAATGATCACCACAATCAATCTAATTAAAACAGCAATCTCCTCACGTAGGTACCTCTCGCTCTCAGTGGTAATAACTTGAAGATCTATCCTCCTAGAAAACTTTAGGTATACAATACAATATTCTAATTATGGTCCCCATGCTGCACTCTAGACCCCAGGACTTATTCTTCTCGTATAACCGGACTTTGTATCCTTTGTTCTTCAAGTCTTTCTTACAAAAACAAAAGTCTTCCATTGACCTCATGCTGTCTTCACTCTCCTCCTAAGAGCTGTTCACACTCTTAACCCTTCCTGTCCATTCCTGATCTGCAGCAGTCCAGCTTCTGCTTACCACTCAACTGAAACGCACTTTTGGAAAGCTCTTCGAAGGTCTGCTTGACAGTTCAATGGACATTTTTCATTGTTACGTGAACTGATTGCTCGATATCCCTTTACCATGATGATTACAGACTATTCTTGCTCTCTGTGACACCATATCCAGTGACACCAGAGCAGGTCTCCTGACCACTCTGACAGTACAGGTGTCTCATCACCTTTAGTTTCCTAGTTGTCCCTGATGAAAGTACCAATAAGCAGGGAAAGGCTGCAGGCAGGAAGCAGAAGGAAGAAAGTAAAACAAGAGGTAAGAATAATCTGCTGGCCTGTGGAGAATCAAATGCTAAGTGAAAGAATCAGATTTATATGTTTGAGTATGCTCCCCAAATCATCATCAAACCCCATTTTACAGATGAAGAAACTTAGGTTTCAATTTTTGTGCAATCTGTAGCGAAAGTTCTAAAATCAGATAATTGGTCATTCATGCTAAAACAATAAAGCTAAGGTTGACACTATCTTTCCAATTTGCCTTATCTTTGCTTCTGTAACAAATGAGAGCTACTGATCACATCCCTGTCTTCGCTGTGCATACGCGTGCTACCGCCTACCGCCAACCATTTTAGTCCCGAGTAGGATGCAGTCAAAATTTACCATGGTCAGCAAATGGTAAATTTAGAGTACCCTTCTCTAAACTACAGTAAGTCGTCACTTAACATCAGGGTCTTTGACTTTTGATTGGAACAACGTATAAGACAGACAATCTTACCATAGGCTAATTGTTATAAACAAGAGTTAAGTTCCTCATCAATGCTACAACAAAACGACCCTGAATAAACCATTATGTGAGGGCATGCTATGTATTAAAATAGTAATTCATTGAGTGTTTTAAATACTTTGCATGCTATATGTGATAAAGTGAGCTAATTATTTATACATGTGATTTAAACATTTTTATCTGAGGTACAAACATGTCACGCATGAAGCCTGGTAATCTGACGGAACCAAAGCTGCCCGTGGATTACTGGTTAAGGTCTTCCCATACAGCATTACTAGGAAGCAAGCTGGTATATACATGATATAACTTTGCCCTAGATGTCAGCAAATGAAAGTCTTATTTTAAACAATGATTTTTAGTGATATGGCTAAATGATTTAATCTCATATTCTCTTAGCTTTCCTTTTAATTCAATCAGTAATCACCTAATCAGTTAACTCAACTTGCGGAGATCATGTAAGGGAACCTGGTGATGCTTCTAAGTGTACTGGGCTCTTCACAAGAACGGTTATGTTGGGCAGCCATGCTGATTTCTGGCATTAGACTCAAACAGGCAGTTAGACAGCAGAAGGATATTCAAGCAAGCAGAAAATAAAAAAAAGGTCTATATTGTATATGTTATTTCAAACAAAGATACTCAGACAAATGCAAAGAATAGTCTAGTTTTTTTAAAAAAAGAAAACAGTAAAGCAACTCAAAGAAAATCAGCTAGATATTAGAAAATAACCTTAAGTAAGAGGAAGAGGTTGTTGAGACAGCTTAGCAGAGACAAAAGGCACTGAAGAACAGAGTCATCCATATTCCCACACTGTAAGATAAGGCAGATAAAAAGCCAATTAAACTATGTACAAATTAAAACAAAATAATGTAGGGAAGTTAACTTGGCTGGTTTGTCTGTTCACCAATGACAAATTACTTGGTTAAAAATTTTCTTTCTACCTAATTATACTATGTGAAACATATTATTAACATTATGCACCTCAAATTTCTCCTCCTTAGGTGAACCCACATATCTCTTTTCTTTCTTTGTTTATTCTAGAGTTTGTATAATGTTATTCTAAAAAAGCTAGGAGAAAAGTCAAATAGCTGCCTAAAAAGTTATGCAATACTGTATGCTCTGAAAACTTTATGCTGTTAGAAAAAGAATAACAAGACTACTCCCAAATTTCAGTGATGTGCCATCAGTCTGTTTTTATCTTTTAATATCTTCTGTCATAGGTATGGCTTCAGTATATAACTAATTCTGCACAGAATGATAAGCATACAGCATATATTTGGGATTTCTGCTCTGCACTGCAGCAAATAATGAATATGGTCTTACTTTTCATGCAAAGTTTATAGTGCCAGAATATGTTTTAGATTTCAGTGATTACTGCATTATTTCACAAAAGCTAATTAAATTAAATTATAGCAAAGAAGAAAAAAGAATTTAGTGTGTTAGAAGAGCTTCTGCTACCAGGACTATTATAAATTTTCCATATTCCCCATTACAGAACTTTGCCTAAGATCATGCTGAGATCAGTTCTCTAATACTAACAAAGGCAACTGTTCTTAAAATGTATAAATGCCAATAAAAGCAGTTATCAAAAGCCGAAAACTATGGTAAATGGTATTTAGTTACACAACACAATGTTTGTATCCACAGAGAACATTAAAAACAGCTTTGCAATTCTAGTATAGCTCAAATTAGTAAATAAATTATGAAAATGTACTACTTATAAAAATAACCACTTCAGTTATTCATCCTATTAAATCAAAATAAGGAATGTAAAAAGGCAGCTAACTAAAAATGAATATAAGATAAATACCTTTAGTTGATTGTTAAATGAATCCATTTCTGATAGCTTAGATGCAGTTTCTTTTTCAAGTGCATCTAATTGTTCTTTAAGTCTTTGGCATAATTCTTCCTTTTCTAATGATTTTTTATGAAGTAGATCGATCCCTAAATCTGAAATAAAGACATCAGACAGTTTACATATGGTAGAAATTCCTGTCTTCACAAGCAACTGACATTTACTGATTGGTCAATTGGTGTAACCAGAGAAAGACAAAGGGTGTACATGCAAAATGTGGATCAACTTTTGATCCACATTAAAGAGAAAAAACTCAATAGTCATTTGCCCTTTACTAATCAGACCCCAGGAAGGTCTTCACATAGAGATGTGTAAATTGGTTTAGTACTCAAGAAGTACCAGGATGTGAAGTGGTGCTCCACTTGGGTTAGGGCATTTCACCAATCCGATCCCCAAGTTCTGCCTCTATACAGTGGGCATCATATCACCTACAGGGTCGGCAGAAGTAACACCTGCTTGAGTGTGGTTGGTAGGGTAATAACGTGGGGGTAAAAATTTATAGTTTTACTTTGAACATTTCACCTAAAATGTCACATGGTGTGCTTGGGTGTGATACTGTTATGTTGCAGATTTACATGCTTATGATTTTGTAACAAAAAACAGGGGTGTTATTGTGCCAGACCCTGTACTATATTTATGAAGTGATAGCTATAAAGCCATTAGTACAGAGTCTAGCCGACAGTAAATACTCAGTTAGTAGCAACTACTATTAAAGCAGCTTTTTATTTATTCTTAGTGCTTCCAAGAATATGAGAATATTCACAGCAAGGACTCAATAAATATTACTAACTGGATAATTTAGTAATATTATTTTAGGAGGTAAGAACAAAGAGCTTCATTTTGTATAACCCTTTCTCACATAGGCAGGGATGGAGAAACTAGATGGAAATATATAATGCAGATTACATTACAATAAATCAAAACAGCAATCATACTAAGTACATATTTAAACTTTATTGTATTTTTAAAAGTAAAGAAATCTAGTATAAAACTATAAAAATATTTTAAAGAGCTAATGTAAAATAAAATGAAGCATATACAGTAAAAAGTGGAAATGTTACCTTCACCTCAACCCCCAGCTACTTCCTAAATCAACATTTATTTCCATGGGATTTTAATCGGATATTGTTTACACTGCCCAGCAATTTGTTTTAAATTTAATAATACACCTTACCAAGAGAGACATAAAAACCTAGCTCATTCTCTAACAGTGCTCTACGGTAAGCCACAGTATGGCTATTCTATAATTTATGCAACTGTTCCCTTTTTGACTGGCATTCAGGTTGTTTCTAGTTTTCTGCTATTACATAAAAATGCTACAATAAATGTCTGTGTACATATATTTTAATGCACATGTGAAAGCATTTTATAAGGCTAGGATATAAAAGAACTGCCATGTTAAAGAATTTGAACACTTTAACATTTGAGAAACTGCTCAACTGCCCTTCCAAAAAGCTGTACCCATGTACGTCGATGCCGAAGTGACTGCTTCTGTAAACCTTCATCAACAGTGGATATTATCAATCTCTTTTCATTTTTGCTAATTGGCAGCAAAATAAACATCACTTTAATTTGCACTTTCTTGATAACTACTGAAATCTAATAACATCTATTTATGTTTGTTGGCCATCATCTTGAATTGCCTCATTTCATACTTTGCACATTTTTTTCCCTATTGGGTTATCTTCATTTCTGATTTGTAAAACTCTAAATTCTTATTATAATTAGGCATATATTTTAAAATTTTCTTATTTATTATGTCTTCCATCATGAAGTTTTTTATTTTTGTTATCAAATCTGTAAATTCATAAATTTTCCTTCACAGCTCTATATATTAAAGACTTTTCTGACAGCAAGATTATACAACCGTTTTTTCTCTTTACATTTTTTCTAGAATTACTTTATACATTCAGCTTCTCATTTTATCCAGGATTTATTTTTGTACGTAGAGTGAGGTAAAGAGCTTCCCACCCCCTTCAGATAATCAACTGTCCCCCAAATCACTTACTGAAATGATAGTAATTATTGAAAGACCATCCTTTTCCCACTGACTTCAAACACGAAATTTATCTTATCCTAAATTGCCATATATATAAGCCTGTTTCTCATTTCTCTATTCAATTTCACTCTTCTATGTTTGTATTTCTGAACAATAACACATTATTTTTGGTGCTACAGCTTTCATAACATGTTCTGATATCTGATAGTTAGTCTCTTCCACCCACCAATATGTTTCTTTTCAAGTCTTGCCCAATCTTGCACATTGTCTCTGCTACACGAATTTGCGAATTATCTGCAAGTTTCATTTAAAGAAATCTGAGTAGAATTGAATATGTGGGTGAATTGGTAGAGAACTGGCATCTTTATAATTCTGAACAGGTTCATTCAGGAACATAATATGTACCTACCTATTCAGGAATCTTTCATAAGTAAATGTTTAGAACTATACATTTCTTCTTTATTCATAATAATGAAAATGCTAATGTAAATTAGACCTTTTTCACTATACTTCCTAATTAAATACTTTTGATAAATAGTTATTGAATTTTATATGAATTTTTTATCCAGGCACCTTGTCAAATTCTCTTATGGCTCTAAAAGCTTTCCAGTATTTCAACAAATACTTAATCGTTAAACTGCACTTCTACTACGTGCAGGCCCCGCACTATGTTCAATGGCAGGTGAAAAAAAGAGAAGGCTAATTAATGCATGGATCCTCTCAAGTAGTTCAGAGTCTAGTTGAGAGATAAGCAATGTAAAAAATAGCAGTTCATACACAGTCTTAGTACTTCTCAAAATGAACGCCACTACCAATAGACATACCAACACTGAATTTGAAAACTGTGTTTGTCTGTGAGCACTGTGTTAGGCAACTGGAAGAGAGAGAGACAACATGGTAGCACAGTGGGCTTCAGAGAAAATTTGACGACTACTTCTGCACCCTCTTGGGCACCTATTTAATCTCTCCGATCCTCACTGTTCCCAAGCTGCACAATGGGAATAACGACCACCTCACAGGGCTGTTGTAAAGATTAAAGAAAATAATGTATGGGAAAATGCCTATCATGGTGCTTGGCACATGGTTGGTAATCTTAAATAGTACCTGTATGGAGAGAGGATCTAAGAGACACAGGGAACTCTATGAATTCCAAACAAAAGCTTAGTATTTTGAACTGAACTATAGGAATAATAGATAGATAGATAGATAGATAGATAGATAGATAGACAGACAGATAGACAGACACATAAAAAGCTGAACTGGATCACACTGTACAGAGAAAGAGTAACTCTACCAGGTCCCCAACAAGACGTCTTCTATAACCCACTCACAATCCAAAGACTAGCAACAATGGTGAGGGTGCTGACACACTTTCTGCCACTGCACAGATCTGGGGGGCTGGCTCACCCTGCCTCTGGAATGCCTGTGGAGGGGTGGAGGGCGAGGTGGGAGCAGATACACTCTGAACAACCAAGAAACGAATCACATGCAAGAAAGGTGGTCTGAGAAGAGACATGGACAGACGATAGCGCTGCAAGGACAGTAAAGAATAGTTCAGAAGAGTGAACTCTACTCCTGGTGTTTCTTTCATGCAGTAAAGGGCCCTTCACTAGCACACTATTCCCAGCTTCTTCCCACCCTCTTCATTAGTTGGTAAACTCAAGATAGTGAACTGGGCATACACAGTCTACGCCGTGGCCCTCGTGACTGCCCACAGGAAACCTGCATTCCCTTCATGCATCCAGTGTTTTATGGGTGCAGCTGTTCCACTCACAGGTAAGCCATGTTGTCCTGTATCAGCTTTATCAATAATGAGGTGATATTTTGGCCTCTCATATGTCTTTTTCCTTTGCTTTATTTCTCAATTTGTTGAGAACTTGGGCAAAAAGAGGATGCTATTAACTGGAACTTCTAAACAGCCAAAAATGTAATAACGGGCCCTGGATGGGAAAGACTGACAGATACTCAATCAGATATTCAATGGGAGATATGTAGGATACTGCAGCTAGTTCTATCACAACATCTGCAGACTGACTTTCCTTTAAATAAACCTTTCTGCTACATTGTTATTGGCAATTCTATTCAATGTAGATTTTTAAAAAATCGTTTCTTGTTGGGACTTGAATCAAAAAAAAGGTTCCATCCCCACAAATTAGCATATTTTGTTCCACAGGTATCAGAGGGGCAGGCTGGTAAAACTCTTTATGTGAATCAGAGTTAGATGATGTAAGAGATCTGGGAAGGGCACACCGTTCTGCTTAGGCCTACCACTACTGTACACTGTCACCCTAGAATCCCCAGATTTAGCCACATAGCAATGTCTACCCCTGAACAGTTCTTTATAATTCGTGCAGGATTGGGCCAAAATGCACATATAGTGTTGTGCTGGAGTCAAACCTAGGTCTTGTTTAATTGTAGTCTAACATTTTATTTGATTGATATTTGAAATATATTAATAAAAATCTAATCAAGATAGAAAGACATACCACAATACTTATTTTTCATTTAATTTTGTTAATATAATGCTCTAACATCTGTGATATTGTTCACATTAATTTGAAATGTTCAACAAAAGACAAAAAACGTTATTTATAATAGAATTATGCTATCTTAAAAAGTAACAGAATATGACTGATAGTCATTCAGGAGAGAATAAAAGGCAAAACAAACCTTAGAGACTTACCAGGTGTATTACTGAGCTGCATGTTTTTAATTCTCTCATTTAGTAATTGCTTCTCAGGTACCAAATAGATAAGCTTATTTTGATATTCCTTATAGAAAGAAAACATAGTGCTTGATTAACTTTGTAATGTCTACACATTTTTTGCAAACTTCAAAACATGATTTAATCACTCTTGAAACTTAGTATAGGAATAGTACGCAGTTGTAAACTGCTCACAACTTATGAATAAACTAGAATGGAAGTACGCATGATTGAAAATACAAATATTTAAACGTAAATCCATTTAAAAGTGACTGGCTGAAATTAAAACACCTGGACGCCTTACAATTCTCAGCACACTGATGGACAACAGGGGCCAGGCTAAGAGGTGCCTCTGGTGTCTGCGCTACGGGGCATGTGTAAGCAGGCCACGACACTCCAGAATCAATGAGTACAAATCTAAGAGGGAATGAAAGCTCGGGAATGACCAAGGAAGCAGCTTTAAGTCAGATGGGAAATGTTATTTGGCCTTTGCCTGTATCTGCTGTGACAAAGTGAACAAACAGCTGATTAACGGCCAGTCCATATACAGAGGAAGCATTACAGCATGCTTCCAGAGTTTCCATTCTGCAAACTCTAGTACATGAACTAGATCCAAATGCACAAGTAAAGAAAAGAACTACCAGGCCCCTGAGGGACATATCCAACATTCTCACTGTAATTCTGAAAAGAATAATGCTATTTCAAAATTTCCTAGGAGTATCCCCAAACCAGATAAAGGCACAACAAAGAAAGAAAATTACAGGCCAGTATCACTGATGAACATATCACTGATGAACACGGACTCTAAAATCCTCAACAAAATATTGAAAAAAAAAAAAGAAAAAAAATGTCCTAAGAGTAGTAGCAATAACCATATATATATGTATGTGTTTATTTATATAAGTATGTGTTTATTTAAGACTAAAACACAAAGTGATAAATGTCCATTTATGAATAAATGCTAACTGGATGTCTACCAGTTTTAGGGGTCTGTGAGATTCCTGATATCATACACCAGGCTGTGCATATTCTCATCCTTCTGGGAAGATGGTTCTATTCTATTAGAGACTCAAAGGGGTTCTCGATCCCAAAACAAAAACCACTCTATTAGCAAGAATTATTAATAACTGTTCATGTTTAAGGGTAATTATGAAGCACGGGACTTACCTGAAGCTCTTGCTGGAGTTGCCGGATCTCCATAATCTCCAGGTCACACTGCTTATCCAGAACTTCCAGCTCAGTCTTTTGAGTTTGTTTTCTGAGTCGGACATCTTGGAGTCTGCCTGAGATCTGCTGGTGTTTGCCATTCTGTAAGAAGAGCATATAATTATATGGTACGATAAAACGCTAACAAAAAATGTTATAAGGAAAATAATATTTTTACTTTAAATTTTTAAATGTCATTTATACTCAGTCTCAGATAAATGCCTAAAACCAAGTGGAGTATGTTTTTCAGTTGTAACTTTTGACTCGAGAATTGTTAGCAGAAATGCACCATTTTCAGAGCACAAGAACCCATATATTAGGATGAGAAAGCACAAATACAACACACAATGATTTTTTCTGAGTTCAGCACTGAGGCATTAATTCATAATATTAAAATAGAGACAATCTCAAAGAACAACAAGTAATAAATTTAGCATGTGGCATTTAGCATACATTCTTTTGAGCTTCTATTTCTACCCCCAATGCTGCTAATTTTCTCTAATGAAACAGTGTCCAGGAGGGCTTTTGGCTACAATTCTCTTTTCCTATAAAAATATTCCTTTCCCCACTTATTTCTGAGTAGTAAGGGAAAAACTGAAATCAGAGATTCTCAGTGGAGGCTAAAAAGAAGGGTGAGGTGTTATGGGTGGGGAACTGTGCCCCCCCCCCACAATTCATGTTATATCCTAACCTCCAGTGCCTTACAATGTGACTGTATTTGGAGACAGGGCCTTTAAAGAAGCAATTAAGGGTTAAATGAGGTCATATAAATGGGCCCTATTCCAATCTGATTGGTGTCCTTATAAGAAGAGAAATTTGGACACAAAAGAGGTAACAGAGACGCAGAGGCAGAGGAAAGACCAGGTGAGGACACAGCAGGAAGGTGGCCATCTGCAAGCAGAGAGGCCTCAAAAGAAACCAAACCTGCTAACACCTTGATCTTGGACTTTGAGAAAATAAATGTCCATTGTTTAAGCCACCTGGTCTGTGATATTTTGCTATGGCAGCCTTAGCAAACTATTATAGTGGGGGGAAGAGAAATAAGACCCCTGACTTAAGAACACTGGTAATCCAAATTTCACTTGAGAATACAATCTAAAGGGAACGTGCTGCGCCCATCCCAGAGCTCATGTTATCTTCTCCAGCGGGTGTGCTTACAGGCCTGGGCCTTTTCAGACTCTGCACCACAGTCCACACTACTGCCTGGCGCATTGTCCCGGTTCTTGAAGGAAAAATCGTCCATCTCCAGGTCTCTTCCCATTATATTTTTAAGGAAAAATATATAGAGAAGATGACACTTTAGACAGATATCCAATTAGCTACACAAAGAAGTTCAAGTTTTTTAGGCCTATTTTGTACCACCGTGGCATGATTAACAATTGTGGTATGCTTTCCTATTCATTTGAAGGCATAAAATAGTACCCTTGTAACTAAAAATATTGTTATAATTTAAAAAATGTAATTGAAGTCATCCCCAAATAATTAAGACCTGAATTTGGCTCTACCACATGGCTGCACATGCATTTTTGCAAAACCTTATTATACTATCAGATGAGCCTTATGGGATTTTAGAGTCATAGAATAGCATGCCTTACCCAGACCCTTTACATCTTATGGAATCTAGGGTCACAGTAAAATAATACACCTTACCCAGACCTTTTATCTTTATTTTTTAAGAATACTTTTTTTAAAGATTTTATTTATTCATTTTTAGAGAGAGGGGAAGAGAAGGAGAGAGAGGGAAAGAAATATCAATGTGTGGTTGCCTCTTACACACCCCGTACTGGAGACCTGGCCTGCAACCCGGGCATGTACCCTGACTGGGAATCGAACCGGCGACCCTTTGGTTCGCAGCCCACGCTCAATCTACTGAGCTACACCAGCCAGGGAAGACCCTTTATCTTATGGGATTATAGGGTTATAGTAGAATAGTATGTCTTACCCAGACCCGTTATAACTTCTCACCTTGCATTTCAAAGTCTTTTAATAACCTGACCCTCTGACACCTGGTGTGTACAATTAGTAAGTATAACGGCCAATATCAGCTTAACTGCCAGTCCTACAAAACTGGAAGGAATTGTCATAGATCATTTATGACATCAGTTGCAAATCATTTTTTCTTTTTAGCAGCAGAACCCTTTTATCCAAGCAAATCTCAGATAAAAGGCCGGGAAAAGGAAAGCAGATCGATGTGGTGCCTCCCTGCTGCGAAGCGCAGAAGAGCTGGGGAAGGCAAGCCCTGCCCTGGCTCCGTGGCTTCCTGCCCCCGCCCTCAGCTCGTCCCCCGCAGGCTGCCTTCCAGAGGCCGGTGTGAAGACAGAAAGCTCCTGAGAGAGCACAACTTTTTACTTCACAGATGGGAGGAGTGAGGCACAGAGAAGGGAATGTCTTGCCCAAGAGGCATGGCTTATCAGCATCTGAACTCAGACCACACAATTCTCAGCATTTTGAGTCACTTATCCTTTCTTAATAAACTATACTGTCCAGTTAAAAAGCACATATGAAAATATAACTGCTTGATTACATTAAAACATAATATATTCTGGAGACAGATTTTAAAAACAATGACATTTTTCAGCAGGTAATTCCAGCATCACTCAGATAAATCTCAGTTATTAAACTTTAGCCGTACCAGTGCTTCCAACTCGAGGTGAAGACTCTTCTTTTTAGAGTTCAACCTGACAATTTCTTCCTGTTCTCTATTCCTCTGATTGAGAAGCTCCTGTCTACGAATTCTCTCCCACTCCAAACGACGCTGTCTTTCAAGTTCCTGTTTTGCTGCCTGAAATAATGAATTAACGTTTAATTTCTAAAGGAACAATTTTGCATCATTCAAACACTGATGGGGTGACAAAATGAAAGTGAGGCAGGACTGGAATGCCTCTGGGCCATGGGGCAGACCTAGTTTTATCAACGGACCTAAGCTGAAGAACTTCCATGAAAGTGACTTCATCCTTCAGACTTACTGATTGATTCACAGGACCCTCATCTGGTTGTAGTTACTTTTCTCTTCATAAACGAAAGGATGATTTCCCCCCCAAATATTATGTTCATAGGAATACCTACACCTTTATTCTGGTTACCAGGGAAGAAAACGACTTCTACTCATAATATTTCAGTGTCACTGTAATTTGCAGCTCTCCATCCCCAGCCCTTTAAACACAGCCAGCCCTCCTAGGAACCCCTCGCAACACTATTTATCCCAAGGACCTGTGCAAGCCCAGCCTCTTGATTCCTCACCAGACCTTTGACTCATCTCTGTCTAATTCCTTGTTCGCTTAACTCTGGGTCCTAAGCTTACGTTCACTTACTGATCTGATCAAACTGACTCCTTCCTCTGGCTTACCAACCCCAGCTCCCCTCACTCTGCTCCGCAATCAACTCGCCTCTGGGACGTCATCTGAAAACCCCTCACGGCCAAGATTCAGATTTGTGTGAGACAAGCAAGAATGTTTGAGGCAGAGGAAAAGCCACAACAAAACCAACCATTTTTTTAATTGCAAGAAACATAACCACTTATTAAATGTGATGATTTTCTTAGGAAATAACTTAAAGATAACCTCTCGTCTTTCTATCTCTTTTCTCCGTTCTTCCTCCCGTTGTCGCTCCAATTCCCTCTGCTTCTCCAAGCGTTTTTCCAACTCAAGTTGCTTCTTCCATTCTTGCTCTTGTAATTCTCTCTGTTTTCGTTCCCACTCTTCCTTTTCTTTCTGGGCTTTGCGCTCTGCCTCCCTCTGTTGTTGCTCCATCAGGGCTTGGCGTCGCTTCTCCAGTTCCATGTTCCCCCGCTCGTAGTTGGCTTTCCGCTTGTCCTCAAATGTCACTACATGAGGGACATGGTAAGCATCCTTACACGTGAAGAGCCCGCACATCCCACACTCCATTTTCAACATCCTCATGTCTTGTGACCGTTTGAATGCTATTCCTCTTTGCATACTTCTCCTGAGAATAATTTTACCTCATATGTAAATGGTAAAATATTTCTGTTCTAAGAATATTCATTTCTAGAAAACAATTTGTAAGTTTGAATCCACCCAGGAGAGAGTAATTTTAACTATTCCTGCCAATAAAAATACTTTTCAACTTTTTTCTCAGCATTTTCTTCAAGGACAACCAAAGCTGGCTGGCTATGTAATTTGTTTTGTTTGATATGCGCCATTAACTTTTTAATATTTTAAAATATCTACACATGTATTTTTTAACCAATATTTAAACATTTTTAAAACTAAAGATTTCAGTACAAAGCTTGCTCTAATATTTTCTCCTGAAGTAGAAGAAACACTTTAACTAGGATGTCTAATGTACATATTCTTGCCATATATACACAGTCTCTTCCTCTTGCATACTTTCCATTTTATTGATGTCAAAGTTTATCCCATTCATGAAACAGTTTCTCTTATAGCATGTAAAATATTTAAAATGTAAAAATTCTAAATATTCATTTATATTTCAAGGTAAAATTTAAGACAACTCACTATAAATATACAGCTTAGACACTCAGTGTTACCTGGTAATTTTTTTTGAGGTTCTTCTTCTTGTATTTTCTGATATGAAGGCAGAGTTCCATTAATAGAATCGATTTGCTTCCCTCCTCTAAGAAAAGCAAGTAACAAACAAATTTAGCAACATGCAATTTTTAGACTAGACTATACAGACTTCTAATGACCAGAGCAGGTTAATATTCAGAATACTGTATCAATATTAAAGATATTTAAACACAGCACAGTCCATACATAATTACAGTGAACAGCAGCAGTACATGGAGTCAAACTAGAAAGATCTGGATTCAAATCATGGTTCAGCCAATTGCTGTACTTGGGTAAATTTATTCTAAATCTCTTCAGTCATCAGTTTTCTTATCAATAACACAATGAAAACATTCCTACTTCTAATACCCATTCCTTCTTGGCATAATTCATTCAATCCAAAATCAAATATCAATGTAAACGTTTAACTCTCTCTAAACCAGTGGAAACCCCGAAGTAACACTGATGTCTGCCAGGGGATCGAGGCCACCCCCCTCCCCCGCAGAGGCGCCCACCGGAAGGACGGAGGGACCAGCTCAGGAGGTAACGTCAGGGGCAAGGGCTGTCCAGCTTTGGCCATGTCAGTGAGGTGCATCGCCAGGATAAACTCTTCAGCTTTTAGCTGTCCGTCACCATCAATGTCAGCCAGAGTCCTAAAGAAAATGTGAAAATTCACAGCTGAGAAAGAAAATCTCAATTTGGAGTAAAATAGTTTCAAAAGAATTCAATTTTTAAATTTTAAAAACAAAAATAATGATAGTAAAAGAGTTACCATAACCTATTTTAGTGAAATGTACAGGGATACAGAGAAGTGAGCTAAGTTTTATCCCTTGTTTCGTATCACAAAAGAGAGGAAAGAAACAAATAGAAAGAAAACTATTCCTTCTGAAAAGGCAGAATGTCTTTTTTCATGGTTAATTCACCTATTAAATCACATTTAATTCTACATTAAAAATGAGATAGTCTCTAATTCTCCCCAGAAGGCATTATATAAAAGTAAACTAGTTTTACTTGTAAGATAATTAAGTGCCAAATTCTCAAGAATAATAACATTTTGCACAATTACATTTGCTTCCAAAGTTGCGTTAACTTTCAGATAGCTACTTCTATGGAACATCTTTGAGATACAAACTTTTACAGAAACAATACCTTTCTTATAATAGAGGATAAATGTTTAAAAATCATAATTAACAGGCAAACTCACCAAATAGTAGCTAGCTGAGTTTGGGAAAGATTTGACTGAAGAAGGGCATTTCTAGCTTGAAAACCTGATTGAGTGGGAAAAACATTTTTTAAAAAGGAAAATTCTTTAGCCTCTTTAAAGTCACACAAAATACTAAATAATTGTACTTGTAAAATAACACTGCTGCTATCCTAGGGACTTTGACATCAAAGTCGTAATCAAAACAAACACATTCCCTGCCCCCAAGCAATTTAAAATCTAGGATTAGTGGAGCCAAATGCTCCCCGTCCTTTCAGAAGGTAACGGTACACCAGTGACACGAGGACTGAGCCACCAGTTCAGACAGCACTGCGAGGACAAGTTCTAGAGACTCCTTGTGCACCCGCTGCAACGGGAAGCACAGCTCCCCTAGCATTTTCAGATCTTCTCCTACCTCTCTGATCATTCCTTTCTCTTCCTCTCGATTTGAAAACGCTGGCATCCCCAAGGATCTGTCCTGGACATTCTTTTCTGTCTATTCATATCCATTCCTATGACTTTAAATAGCACCTAGAGGCCGGTGATTCCCAAATGTACATCCCTAGCCCAAACCTCTCCTCTAAGTTTAGACTTCTATGTGCAACTGAAAAATCTACTTATGTATTTCACAAGGATCTCAAACCAAATACGTATAAAACTACTCTCTCAAACCCCGTCCATACATCTCTTCCTAATCTTTGCCCAAACCATTCTCTCTGTCTTCCCTTCCCTGGCATCACTGTCCATTCAGTGAGTGGGTCAAACCACAAATCAAAGAGTCATCCTTGAACCCCCCTCTCCTGAACACCTACAACCAATGTCAAGTCTCACAATTCAAAGTCACTGTGCGTCTGGGCCCTTCTCGCCCATGAAGTTGCAAATTAATGTTACTTTCTCAGAAGGCTTTCTCTGTCCGCCCTATCATTTCCTTTTCATTTTCTTCATATCTCATATCACAATCTGTAATGTAACATTCATTTGCTCATTTACCTATTTGTCTTTCCCCTATTATGCTAAGTTCTATAAAGACAAAAACTGTGACTGTTTTATTCACTAATGTATGCCCTGTGCCTGGTACATAGATGCTCAATAAATATTTGCTAAAGTAATGAATCAAATTTAATCCAAGTTGTTTATCTAAGGACTTATGTGGTGGCATCCAACAGTATAATTGTTAACATTCACTTGATGCTTATTATGTACAGTAAACTGTTCAACTTTTCTCTCCATCAGTGAGAAAACAAAAATATGTTTCTGTTACAGGCTTCCTAATCTTCAATGAAAATACTCCAGAACAGAAAATCCCTGTCTGCACAAGAGAGGAGCATTCACTGCCAGTGCACTAATCTGAGGTTTCCTGATTACGGATGAAATCATGTGGCTTCTCTGGAGATGGTCTCTCTAGTCAGTGCAGCAGCTGCTGCAACTCTCACCCTCAGCGGACTGGGCCGCGAGCACCAGAGCAGCCAGGCCCTGCTCTGGGTCCAGCCTGAGTCAAGGCTGGCCCAAACACCTCTGCACAGAAGAGAGCAAGCAGTGCTTCTGCCAACTCTTCCTCAGCAACAGCTCCCGCTACAAAAGTAGCACAAGTGCCACTAAACCCAGTATTTCACTGAGCTTTGAACACAGGTCTGCTTAATCAAAGCTACATATACTGTATGGAACGAACACAGATATACCATATACTATGCAAGTGAATGTTTACATTATGTCACTTAAAAACTTTCGTTCTTCTTTAAAAAAAAATCCTTTTAATAGAAATCACATAAGGAAAAAACACTGGAGATAGCTCAGAGCCTCACCCAACTAATTATTCCTCAGTGAGCTTTGAGGACATTTTTGTGTTAAAAGGAGGATTCCTCCAATATAGAGAAATGGAAGGCTATTTCAAGCATGAGAAAGGGTTCAGTCACTCAGGTTGCAGCTCTTGGGCAAAGATAGCAGAGCAGACCCTTTAGCATTAGGTGACAGCCAACAGGAGGAGGAAGGGAAGGAATGTAAATGGTTAAAAGCACACTGGCGGAGGCTTAAATGTGTGCAGGCCATGTCTGAACAATACAAAGGGCTACAGAGAGCCAGCAGAGTGCTCTCCCAAGAAAAGCTCACTTGAACAGGTATACCATGGGCCTGCCAATCCTTTGGATATCCTATGTGCCTATGATGCCAGTCCCTCCATTCTCTACCTGGCAGTCTATTTATCCTCCAAGATCCAGCTCAAATGTCATCTCTTTCATGGAACTCTTTTTTATACCCTCAGAACTAGTTACTTTCTCATTTATATTAACATCGGCACCTTTAAGCCACTAATCAAATTCTGTGATTATGCGACCCACTGCTATGGGCTCTTCAAAGATATGGGCCATGTCTTCTTTTTCTCCGCAGCCTAGTGCCTCACAGAGTGCCTGGGAGATATTAGACTCAGGAAATATTTGAGTCAATGAATTAATTTAAATAGATCATGATTAAGATTTAGGAGAAGGAGAAGAAGAACAATAAAAGGAAAAAATCAGATCACCAACATTCACTGAACAAAGCATAGCATGTAAGGCTAGGTCAGCCCTGTCCTCATATACCTGGGGACACTGGAAGCAACTTCTCTTTTCAAAAAAACCCAATCCTTCCCTTAACTATGGATACACAGCTTTACTCGAATAGATCTAAGAATAACAACATTCACTAAAAACAAAACATTGAACAACCTTTACACAGTGTGGCATACGCAAATAAAGTAACATTAGGAGATGATTTTCTTCGTATTCCAACACAAATGCACCTTTGTTTACACGTATGTTTGAAACACATACATACAGTGTACTAATCCCAAGTGTACTGCAGGATGAGTTTCTACACGGTACGCACACATGCAGCCAACACCTGTATCAAGATACAGAATGCTTCCTGCACCCTAGAGCGTCTGGGCAGGGCCCCTTCCCAACACAATAACTACGCCACTCTGGTTTCTATCACCACCAACTAGGCTTTCTGTTCTCCAGACTCACATAAATGAATTAAACAGTGTGGATCATGTGTGCCAGGCTTCCTTCATTCAATACAGTATCTGTGAAATGCACCCATGTTGCTGCAAGTATCAGAAGTTCATTCATTTTTATTGCTGTATTGTTATAAAAATACATGACAATTTATTTATTTTTCTCATGTTGATGGACATTTAGGCTGTTTCTTTTTTGGATACTTTAAGAAAGACTTTATTTATTTATTTTTAGAAAGACGTGAAGGGAAGGAGAAAGAGAGGGAGAGAAATGTTGATGTGCTAGAGATAACATTGATTGGTTGCCTGCTGCATGTTCCGAATTGGGGACTTGGCCTGCAACCCAGGTGTGTGCCCTGACTGGGAATCGAACCAGTGACCTTCCAACTCGCAGGCCAGCGCTCAATTCACTGAGCCACACCAGCTAGGGCTCTTTTTTGGATATTTTAAATAAAGCTGCCATGAACATTTTTATACATGTGACTTTAGTCTACCTTTGTTAATTTGAATAAAGAAACTTCTTTAATGACAAATAGGGCCCAAACAAGTTCATTTTTTCAAAGAATGAGAATCACAACCTTATATTAATCTCAAGTATGTTTGAATACCATATTCCACAGAAGCTAAGATTCCATCGATTATAAGACACGCCATTATTTTATATAACACTAAGACAGAAAAAAACACTGACAATAAAACCATGACACAGTGTTAACACACCACTGATGGAAACCTTCCAATTTCAGAGAGGTTAAAATGTTTTGTTTTTTAAAAGGGTTACTTAAAAATATAGTATGCCTTGCTTCACACAATTTCATAAAATTATAGAAAATTTTAGTTATGAATGTTTGATACATGTAAAATAGTGTATTTGTAAGTTAGAAAGTAAAATAATAAAAGTCACCCGTGAACCTAACACCCAACTTAAAAACTAGATCATTACTAAATGCTTTGAAGCTGTGTTCTCCTGATTTTTGTGTGCACATCCCCTTGCTTAAAAAAAAAAAAAGTTTCATCACATAGGTATGTTATCTTTAAAGAAAATGCTGCATATTTTTGCCTGTCCATCAATTCCTAAAACCTTATTGCTTCCTTGCCCCACTGCACAACTAGAGATCTTATACTCCTATTTCACAGACTTCTTCTCATTCTCTAAACATGCCATGTACTTTTTGCTTTTAAGCATTCTCTGCCACCCTCAAATGCCCTCATCTTCAATCTCTAGCTGTCCAATCCTAACCGTTCCCCTCCGATAAGCTGTTTTATCTGACCTCATTAGTATTAATATATTCCATCCTATGTTCCCTAGCATTTTAAAGCTCTACTACTTTTAAACATTGATTTTATTTGGCCTAAATTGTAATTCATTGCTGAGTAAAGAGAGGGGAAAGTTAGAAGGCAGGAATTCTACTTGCCTATTATCCTCTTTACACGCTCTTCACTATGCTCAATTAGGAAAGTTTGAATGTCTGTTCTAGCATGAACGCAAATATTCTATGGGGATCTAAGGTCAAGTTTTATGGGTACATTTTGGTTCAAGCATTAAAGCATGAGCAAGGCTCACATGAGGTTTCAGGAAGAACAGACAGAGAAGACCCATGAGGAGGGGGATTCTCAGGGAACTGAGCTGAGGCTACGTCCCACACGCGGCCTCTTGCCAGGCCAGTTCTCCATTCACTCCCTACACTGGAGGACGAGGTTTGGTCTTCTCAAGGGCGAGGTCTTTTCTGTGTGTATCTGTGTGCTCAACTCTATCGCAAGAACTTTGAAGAAAACAATGGTATATCCATCTTTGAACTCTTATACAACTTACATTTGTATTTATCCAATGCCTATCAAATTTTTTTGAAGTTAAAATTTTAGATGAGTTACAAAGTACAAAATAAAATCAAAGTTCAACAAAAGCCCACATAAAAACTTCAACTCTTTCACATTCTTAAGCATTGTATGCCACTTACCTGAGAGGTATCCACTCATGCTTTTGTCAAGACTATTGAATTTCTGCCGATATTTTAATCTTGAAGGCTGAGGAACTGCCCACTCTGCGGTCCCAGTCTTGGGCGAGTTCCCTGAGAGCGAAGCAGTTGAGGAAGTTGAGCTGTAACAAAATTTATTTAAAATTTTTATGTTACTAAGTAAAATACATTTAGTTAAACTTTATAAGACAAATTAAGAATCATACCTTCTATAATACAATAGTAACTGTTGCTGTGTTTGATACTGAAAAAATTCAAGCAATTATCCTTATTCTTAGGAAAGCAAATACCATATGAAGTACAGAACTACCATTTATCAAGAACCTATTATGCTGGGGCCTTTACAAAATTACCTCTACCCTTCCTGATAAACTTAAAAGGTATTACTGTTCCAGTTTTTATAAGGGCAAACTGTGGCTTAGTGATGTTGAGGGGGAAAAAAGGTTACACAGTGAGTGGTTAAGCTAGGATACAAAGATTCTTCTGGGTCAGTGCTTTAAAAAGCATTATTGTGAGAAAACTGGATAAAGAAAATGTGCTATATGTAAACAATGGGATATTACTAGGCCTTAACAAAGAATGAGCTCTTACTGTTTGCAACAATAAGGATGGACCTAGAGAGTATTATGCTAAGTGAAATAAGACAAAGACAAATACCACATGATTTTACTTATATGTGGAATCTAAAAAACGAATAAAGGAATAAGCGAAAAAGAAAAATTCACTGTACAGAGAACAAACTGACAGTTGCCAGGTGGGAGGTGGGTTTTGGGGCTGGGTAAAAAAGGTGAAGAGGTTAAGAAGTACACATTGGCAGCTAGAAACTGGTCAAAGGGACACAGAAGTACAGCACAGGGACACAGTCAATAATACTGCAATGACTATGCATGGCGGCAGGGGCTGCCGGACTTGTCAGGAGGATCACCACTTCATAAGCTGTGCAAATGTCTGGCCACTGTGCTGTACACCTGAAACTAATACTGAATGTCACCTGTAACTGAAAAAAAATTTTTAAATTTATAAAGAGTATTACTGTGATTTATACAAGGGGTGGTGAGTAAACATTAATATTTTTTGAAATGAAAGGATACTCAATCAGCAGAATTTGCTCAAGAAAGAAATTAATAATGTAAAATGATTATAAGATGTTTTAAGAAACATACATTACTTAAAGGAAAAACATGTAGCTCTGGGCAAAAAAAATTAGTTGATTAAAAATATAGCAAAATACTTTCAGTTTACATGAAACATTTTTTTAAAAGATTTTATTTAGTTAGCTTTAGAAAGAGGGTAAGGGAGGAAGAGGAAGAGAGAGACAGAGAGAGAGACAGCATGCGAGCGCACGCCAGCAAAGTGAGAGAGAAACATCCATTGGTTGCCTCTTGCACACCGCTCCCAACCGGGGATATGGCCCACAACCCAGGCATGTGTCCTGACCAGAAATGGAACCAGTGACCTTTCAGTTTGCAGGACGATGCCCAACCCACTGAGCCACACCAGTCAGGGCATACATGGAACATTTTTCAAAAGTAAAATACCACAGGCATTTAATAGTTCTAAAAATAAAAAAAAATATTTTATGTAATTTGTGAATAGTAAATTTACATCAGGTCATTATAAAGTAAAACCTGGACAAGCTCAGAGCTTTAAACAAATAGTCATTTGTTAAATACTCCTAATTAAAAGCACAACAAGTTGGAAGTTTAAGTATTCATACCTACTGGACCCTAAATCAATCAGAGACTGGGCTTTCTGTATACTAGCACCACCAAATCCTCCCATCATCACACTGTAAGATGACGTATGAGGCAATGCTAAAAAAAGAAAAAAAGAAAAGAAAAATGAAAAAAGGTTCACGCTAAACAATGATCACAAATTATGAAGAAAACGTGCCTCTATTAGAGCATGAACATAACGATTTCTTTCTTCATACGAAATATTGACTCATTAGACATCCAGTACTTACTTGAAGAAGAATAAGGAATGGACAAAGGCTGGATGAGACTGGCAGTTCCATTTGGTAACGATGAGGTGCTAACAGAAGGCACGAGGGGAGCAGGCATCATTAAGGGAGGAAGGGTGGTCCCTGAAGTCGCAGGGGACAAGGCTGTTGCTATAGGTGCGACTGGAGGCAATGGCTGAGGAACGGATAGATTGGGCATGCTTCCCATTCCTAAAGGCAAAATAGACCACGTTTTCTAGTGCTAGTAAATCAATCATAAAACACATGCGAAAAACAAGTTATAGTACAGTGAGCACACCCTGTATTTACAGGAACACTACGGGCAAACTAGTCTTAAAAAATTCACAAAAGCAGCTTAGACCCAGCAGTGAGGGAAGTAAACTACTGCTTTTCATGTCAGTATTGTGACCTCTCCGAACTAAGGGAATGCCTCCTAAGGAGTTAACAGTTCTCTTCCAGCAGCACGAACAAAATCAAGCGGTTTTTTCCAATTAAATATTAGTGTTCTCAGAGAGAATGTAGTACCTGATCAAATGTGGGATTTTGTGTGAGGATTACACAGTGCTATTGAATCAACACACACACACACACACACACACACACACACACACACACACAGCCAAACCACCCTCACTCAAAGGAACAAAGTGACAACTCTTATTCATTCACTAAGTAAACTGCTGAAAACTCAGTACGTTGTATAAATACAGTCACACAATGATTTTGAGTTTCTCTCTCGAGTTTACTGTACTGTAACAGTGGAAGAAGTCAGTACCATTTGGCATACAGGGACATGTTTCAGATGCACAGAGATGTCTAACTGGACACTCCAACGAGTGCTTCTCACGTACAATTAATAAGAAATTATCTAGTGAAAATTAATGAAAAACTGGTTATCTCTGATAAATATGTGAATTACTCAGCACAAATCTTCAACTTTTAGCCCTAAACTTAGCTAATTAACCTTTAAAGAAATTTCTTTATAAAAATAATGATTACTTATGTATAATTTCAAATTATCCCCAAATTAAACTATTTCAAGTGAGTTTAAAATTGTTCACATTTTTTCTGTTACTCACACAAAGTATAGAGGAAACTAATTAAGACTAGTATTTAGGATCAGCTATAACAAAGGAGAGCATGTAATTTATCATCTAACTGGGAATTATGAAAGGGCACACTAACCAGACCAGATTCCAGGACAACAAACATGAGAACTGTCCCTGGAGACTAGGATACACAGACACCCTAGCTATGACAGCAAGTTTCATATTTCTTATTTCAGACATGAAAATTAACTTGGAGACTGGGAATTGTCATTTTATGCCAACATATATTTTTTTGATCACTAAATAACTGTCAGAGGCAGCTAATTAAACCCGTAAATACATACCAAAACGAGCAGAAATTAATGGAGAGAACATAGGAGGTTGTTTCATAATAGGAGGGAGAACCACAGGCAACTGCTGGCCCTGCAGCTTCAGTTTGATGAGTTTCATAGCTATGGAGAACTCCTGCTGATCCATCTTCCCGTCCTTGTTGAGGTCTGATAGAGCCCTACAAGGACAATGGGGTGGGCAGACTATATGTAGGGTCAACATTACTTTTGAGGACGATAAAATAAAAACAATGATATAGCATTCACACGTCAATCATCATTTAAAAACATATGTGTGCATCTCAAAAAGCTGAAACCTACACATTAAGAAATATTGACCAGAGATACATCTAATAAAATGCTGCCATTCTATATAGGATCTAAGGACCTCTGGGATAAATTCCACCAGTGTAAATGAAAAAAAAATTATTTAAGAGTATAACTCTTCTAAACTCATTCACTTGTTCAAATATTTATTGAATGTTTGCTATGTGCCTGGCATTTGGCCAAGCATGGGAGTGTTCCAAGTGGATAGAAAGAAAATGGAATAGGGATTGATATTTACCATAAATTCATTTAAGAAAACAAATGTTACTATCAGTATTATAAGGCACAATTTATTTAAGGTAGGAACAGGCAAAAGAAGGAATAATTTTGGGCTTAGAGATGATGAAATAAATAAAACTACAAAATAACAAAAGTTTGAGACTGCAAGTAAAAACAATTTTATGTTAAATTGCATTAAAAACAAAATAAAACCATACAGTAATTTAAGATCATCTACAAAACAATTTTACCATATTTCAGCTAAAACAGGAGCTGGCAGGCCTGACTGTAAGAAAAATGTACGTGCTTGATCACCTGAAAGCAATAAAAACAAAAATCAAGCAGCATATTAGTAAAAGGAATTACTCCAATGCCTGTGAATAATAATAGGCAATAATAATTATATTACTGATTCATTGTAACTTTAATGTTAATCATTAAAACATTAAACAGAAATATACATATAACATTATTTACATTTCATTAATAAGACTTAGATGTTTTAAAGTCACAACTGGTTATAAAATTAATCAGTGATAAAAGATTTCATTATTCATCTTTTTTCCACAATAACTGAAGTCTTAATTGATAATATTTCTACTTAATAAAATTCAGAGTTAAAAACACTATTCCCTAGAAAAGTTCTACATAAAAAATACCAGATGTTGAGAGAGACAGCCACCTACAGGTCTCTCACAATCCTATATATCCAGCTGTGCACGACAAGAAGGCAAGGTACTAGTGATCTCCACCTGGTCGTTTCTCAGAACTGGGTTCACAGTGAGCTATCTTGACAGACAGGGTAACATTTCCCTCTGGGACAAAGAATAAGCTGGCTTACTATGTGCTAAAACACGGTAGGTTCCCTCTAGCTCAGTGTTCCTTCTTACAATGCAGTTGCTGCATGTGTAGCATCCTGGGATCTCTGCATGGTCCCGTGTGACGCAGGGGACAAGGGAAGTTGACGGAAACATGGCAACGCTCATGCTGTCAGCTGTGTCATCAGTAATAGTTTGTTGCTTCTGTTTTAGAACTCGCATCTAAGTGATATCATATGGTTCTTATCCTTTTCTGACTGAATTCACGTGGCATAATACTCTCAAGATCCATTCATGTTGTTGCAAATGACAATATTTCATTTGATATGAATCTATCATTTAATAATACAAATATGATGGCAAACAAATTGAAGTATAATTCACAAATACAATACAAACACAAACCTGTTATGTAACCTCCTGCGGGCTTGAGGTTATCAAATTGCTTGTCATGCTTAGTCCTTTCCTCAGAGGTAATAGCCCACATGTTTGGCCCTCCTAAAACATAAATGAAAGACAAAGAAATTATACTGTATGTATGAAAATGCTTAAAATATAAACTTCTAAAATGTAAATGCGTCACAAATGTCTGTTTAAATGACAGTACTTAATACCTGAGCAACTCCAAAGAGGAAAGCTCTATCATGAACCATACAGCACACCCCTAAGGCTTTTCACTCATTCATCCAACTAACATCTATTGAAAGTTACTGAATACTACTCACTGGAAATAAAAAGATGAATAAAATATTATTCCCATCCTCAAGGATCTCTTACTTAGATGTTAAACTGTGAAGCATCCTAGGTAGAAATACACAGGGAATGGCCAACATAGGTTTACAGTTGCAATACAAATAAATAATTCAGTAATTAATAAATAGTACAAGAACAAACTGTATTGCATACTCACAACTGTAAACCTACTTTTGCCCACCCTGTACATAAAAGCTGTGCTAACACTGAGTTGGAAGCATCAAGAGTGAGACAAAGTAAGACTGAGGCAGAGCCTTGAAGCTCCGTCTGAATTGTCAGGTGAAGAGATGGGATGGGGTATTTCACACAACAGGGCATGAGAAGTCAAGGAAGTATACTGAGTAGACTGACAGCTACAGCACCATGTGAGTGGTAAGACACAGGTGGGAGGAATTAACTGTAAAGAGTCTTACATACCATTCTTAAGAGTCTGACTTTTACCTTGTAAGTTATGGAGAGCCATCTAGTACTTTTTAAAATAACCTTCTAAATTTGGAATAATTTACAGAAAATCTGCCAAGATAGTAGGGAGTCCCTATATACCCATCACTCTATTTCCACTGTGTTAACAATTTCCATTACTGTAGTACTTTTGTCGAAACAAATAAATTAACCCTGCTAAACTTAAAACCTCCATCAGCAGGAGTAGCTGGTGGACCCCAACAAAACGGACTCTGGGTGCCGAAGCAGCACAATGTTTGTGACTGAGGACTCTGCCAACTGGAGACTTTGTTAAAGAGAAGCAGCCCTTTGGGGCCTCAGTGCTTGCCTCACAGAGACCTAGTGACTTTGCCACTTCCCAGTCCCATTGTGGAGTAGGTGAACGTGAATTCCATCACTAAAAAGATGAAAAGAATCCAAAAGCCCAGCCTGTCAAATAGAAATCATATAGTTAAGAATACAGACAGCCTGGCCTCACGGGCATCTTGGCTTTACATTTAAAAAAGGGTGGGGGTGGCTAGCTCTCTAAGGAGAAACTATTCCTACTCCACTGTCTGACAAAGCTACTGAATCAGTGAGGTTCCCCGAAATGCCTGGATCTAGTTTACTCATGGTTCAGAGAAGCTGAAGCCGACGCTGTCCACTGGGTTGTCATGACTGCTCAGCCTCAGAGTTATGCAGGACCAAAAGGTGACACGGTCATTCTGTTCAGTGGCAGACTCAAACTGTTGGGCTGTGGCCAATGGCCCATCTGTTTGGTTTGCCACTTGGAAAATTATAACTGACAGATTAAAGACACCCTCTTTGGAGCTGCAAACTGAAAACAAATTGTAATTGCTAATTGAATGGTCTGAGTCACTAATGTAGCTCCCTGTGGTAAGGGCCCATTCTCTGATTTAGGCTGAAATGAAGCTGCTGATTAAATCCTACTCTATGTGATGCAGAGGATGCCACTGGTGATTCCTGTTTGAGTGAGAATGTGTATGGGGAGAGGTGGGAGGTTTGGGAGGTCTCATTGCATAAGGCATTGCCCCCTTTGGCTCTTGGCAGACTAACATTGCATCTTTGACCCTCTCTCAGGCTACTGGTGTGCCTCAAATGGTTGACACTTTTTCAGGTTACCAATCAGTCAATGATGCCTACATTATTGTGGCCCTTAAAACTAACCTGTACTTTGTTTTCAGCTTTCTGAACTGTTTGCACTAAGACAGTGATTGTATCATTTATCACAAAAGCTGCTCTACAACGCACTGATGTCTGACTCTACTTCCATCATCTCCTCCTGGTCCACACATCTTAAAAAGTAAGACAGTTCGGCCACTGAATGTCCTATCCGTGGAAGGGGAAAACCATCGCCTCTCAGGGGTTTCCAGGCTAATGAAGACTAAAAGGGTGGTGGTGGTGGGACAATAGGGGACATACAGGCCTGTCATGAAAATTCAGGATTCTACCTTGACCATTCTTAGACATGACACATCTTTCTTTCTCCTAATAACAAGCACAGGGAGGCCTGGTTGGATCATCCTCCAGTTTCAGGCAGCTCAGCTAAAATGGGACCTAGATGATTCAAAGTTAACTCTGCTTTGGTGTACAAAACGATCCTTGACCCTCTTGCATCTAACCCTTCTGTGTCACAGTGAGGTTCCAGCCAAATAGGACACCTAGATGTTGTGGTGGCAGAGGGCGACAACCAGGCATCTGAGGAGGAAGCACCTTAGACACGAAGAGGTATGAGTGGAAGAGGCCTTAAGGACCTGTACTCTTTCAGAATTGGCCCTGGGGCCTTCTTCCCCAAGGAAAGTGTTCTGGTGCACTTCTCCTAAATAAACTGGTGGTAGCACCTTCAATTCAGCTGGCTACTGCACCTGCCATCCTTACCAGATGGCTTTGACTTCCCTTTGATCTTGATCCACACTCAGTCTTAGGCAGGCCCTGTGCACCTGGGCCCCAGGGTGTGGATTTCTCTGCGTTCCTGCCCCTCCATCCTGTGGCATCCAAACTCCTCCTTGTGTCTCCTCCTCCTTGGTCTTGGGAAGGCCCATCCCCCGAGCAGCTTCTTCCCCAAGGAGCAACAGAAGCAGCACCTCTGTGTGGTATCAGTATAGAATCTTAGGCCCAAGAAGGTCTCTTCCCCTCCTCAGTGGTAGAAAGCTTTTTCTTCTCCCCTTACCCCAGTAGCAATGTGTCTCAGCCTGTGTCCTTGGGATCTTTGCTAATGTCCTCCCAGTGACCCCTAGTAGCTTAAGACTTGTGCTTAATAGAAGAGAAGGATGCAGAAGAATGCATGGCATTTTGTGCCTATCCCCCTACGGCTGCCTGCAACACTGAGGTGGGGGCCTGTTCTGGTCTCTCTCACAGTCCCAAGTCCTTCAGGCAAGAAACCCAGTGGATGCCTGGAGGAAACAGCCTGAGGTTAGTATAAACTCCCCTCGTGTCTGTGGCCCCCAGTCACTCCAGACTGACATGCTAGCTCTCATCTGCTGTTTGGTTTTCATTAGGATTTTAACTGATTTCTGTAACATCATTTTACACATTTTACATTCTGTAAACCCGCCCCCTCCCCCATTTTACTTAGAGCTCTGTTTGCATCCACAAAGTCTGAGATTGAATTCTCTGGAAAACTGTTCCAACTGCACTGGTGGCGTAAGGAAATCCTTTGCTTTGCCATCTGTCCCCTGGTCCACTCTGAACTCCGGCCTCCTTTACTCTAGAGCTCTACTGAAAGCGTCGGTCCAGACACAGACCTCCTATGCCTACACTGAATCCAATTTACTCTGCTCCCTAACTGCTGGAAACTCTTTAAAGTTTCTGGTACACTGACAGTGCCTTTTCTATTTCCTAAAGCTACCTTAGATTCAAGACAGAAGGTTTTCTCTGATAACTTAAATGGGATCCAGAAAAAAAGAAAATAAGAATTTAAATCACTGCCTTGAAACAAGACAGTGTTGTCATGAGTGAACATAACAACTGGAATGACAAAGCAGCTCCAGAAAAAAAGGTGGTCCAGAGAATTAGGGGTCTAGAAATATTTTTCTATGAGGCAGTTAAAAATCTGAAGTATTAAGCCAGAGGAATCAAAGATTAAAGAAGACTTGGTAGCAACTTTAAGTATTTTTTAAGGTATGTAGAATATGGTTACTTGCTATCCTTACAGGAATTAGGAACAAGACAACCATGTCAGAAAGTTAGGGCTGTATTAAAGAGGAGTCAACTGCCTTGAAGGTATTCTTCTTGTTAGCAAAGGCATTAACACAGAGGATGGCTCAGGCCTGAGCATCTCTGAGGTTCTCTCAAACCATGAAAAACAAGCAAACAATGATTTTAACAATCCTTTCCATTTGCTCTAAAAATGAGACCAGTCTCTCAACTTCCCACCATCTCCAAATGCACCTTTGCCCTCTTCCTTTGACAGTTAACAGCACACCAGAACATAAAGAAATAAAGAAATAGAGTGGAAGTTCTGCTCCAGTCTGTACGCTACCAGTTTGGTGACTTAGGCAGGTTTTGAGCCCTTTTATAATCCTTTAATCCTTATGTAGTAAGCATAGTGTATGTAGTCCCAGGCAATGCTTGACTAGCCAATGTCCTACACCAGAGGTGTTCAACCCCCCACTGCATCACCTGGGGATCTTTAGGAGGAAAAAGCTACTCCAGCAGACCAATTAAATCAGAATTTCTGGGGGATGAGGCACACACTTCCTAATTTTTAAAAAGCTCTCCAGGAGATGTTTTTTGTGTGCAGGCAGGGTTGAAAACCACGGCCCCATACAAGCCAGGGTTGCACACTGCCCCCTCTTCTCTCTGTCCCTCCGCAGAATATTCTGCTCCATCTCTACCCCCAGCTAACTCTGGACAGCTAGCCCACAGTGCTGTCCAGACGCAACACCTGGTGGCTGTCAAAGTGAATCATATGGTCCAGTACCTGGGAAATTCTCTTTCTCCTAAGGATGATACATATATCCCTGAACTCTACCCTGTTAAAACGAGTTAATCTCAACTAACTCACTTTTTCTCAAATGGAAACAGATTTTCTTTAACCCCCTTTACCAGACTGCTCTTTCAACTCTTGATTGGCTATCTCAGATAAACAACCTTCCCTCTCTATCACTGCTTTTTAAAGCCTAACATTAGCAGAGCAATAGTAGTACTTTGTAGAAGCAGCAACTACTTACTATCCACTGAGCATTACCGTATTTTGCCGTATATAATATGCAACCACGTTTTTTGCCCAAACTTTCAGAAAAAGATTCTTGTTTTAATTTTTAATTCAATTATTTATTTGTATTTAGATACTTTTTTGCATTATAAAGGAATTTTAGCATTTATTTTTTAATATATTATGGTACAAGAAACTTTATGTAACAAATTATAAAACACAAGAACAGATACAAGGTATTTGGGGTATTACCCCTGTATAATGCACATCCTTATTTTTCCCTCAAAAATCTGGGCAAAAAAGTACGTATTATACATGGGAAAATACAGTACTTTAGGCCAGCACTCATGCTATGTATATTAGTATTACCACATTTTATTTTCACAACTCCCATGGACTAGGTTTTACATGTATTACAGATGGAAAAACTGAAGTGTAGGGTGGTTAAATAACTTGCCTAATACCATGCAGCTAATCTGTAGCTAGAATTTTCTTGTACTTTAGAATATAACTTCAAAATTCATGCTGTTAATTACTACCCTGCATTACCTCCCTGATTACTTTGGTATTACTTTTGTCATTTGAAAATAAGTAACAAAATGTAAAAGGGATGCATCTAAACTGATATTTAAATATAAAAATAGGTCTCTTTTACATGTCAAAGCAACCAAATTTTACTTTGGAATAACGCACCTTTAAAAAATTCTAAACACTGATTATATATCAAATAGGTGAAAAAATGTTAACTATGACACTACCTCTAACAAATTTATTTAATATTTAACACAGGAAAAACAATACAAAACAAAAACCTAGGATAAAAGGAATGCGGGTAATAATATATCCCTATCCCAGACAAATAAATCCTTCCAAATCCCATAAACACAACATCCTCTCACATCCTGTGACTTGTGTTCCCTTTACTTGCCTTGGCATTCCATCACCCCCTCTTCTCTTTCAAATTTATCTTTCGAGGTCCAGGGCAGATGTCACTTCCTCTAGGAGGTCACTAACACCTGCAGGTCAAATTAATTGCTTCCTCCTCTAGATTCTCAAGAGGCTACTCCACGCTTCCACAGAGCACTTAGAAAGGTGCTGCAATTGTTCTGTGCCCATCTGTTCTGCCAGACTAGAGCCCTTGGGGAACAGGACTTTCCATCCCCAGAACCAGCAGAGCACGAAGCACAGAGCAAACACTTAAAAGTGACTGAGGAATCAACACTTGAATGAATAGAAGAGGGGGTAGAAAACAAGACGAGAAGCAGGACCAGGACTTGGGGGAACACAAAAGGCACTCACGAATCTGTCCGTGGTCTACCCTGCACAGGCGGCCACACCAGCCCTCTGAGAAGGCCTTCAGGGCGCTACAGATTCAACATGGCTAATGACCATCCACACTTCACTGCTGACCTTCTCAAGCTGACTCCTCCTCTGTCAGTGAGAAACCAAGTATGTTTAGGTGTCTAAGCTCAGATATATTTGCTGCCTACCTTATATAAAAACCTCCCTTACAAAGTTGTTTCCAGGAATGCATATCATAGAAATGTAGGTGCCCACTATAATTTGAAATACTAAGATAGATTTGATTTAACAAATACTTAGGAGACGACTTGAGGTGGTGAACACACAATACAATATACACATGATGTATTATAAAATGGTACACCTATAACACACAATTTTATTAACCAATATTTTACTCCATAAATACATGTTTATTGGCCCTAAATGACTGGATTTTAAAAAACTCTGTAAATGTCCTCCCTTAAAAACAAGTTTTAAGATTAGATTTAAAAGGGAAGAAACACAGGTACTAAAGAACTAAGAACCTAAAATAGCTAAACCTACACTTTCTAAATAAATACTGCATTCATAGTACAAAACCTACTTCACTTATCCGTTTATTATAAAATAAATCAATGAGTCTGTCACGATTCCTGTGACTAGGACGGCAAGCAGTGTGGCTGCAGACTGGTGTGCTACTGTACGACTCTGGAGAGATCATGATGATCCAACGTGACGACAACAACAAAGGATGACAAAGATGGAAGCGGCTCACCTTTCTGGAGCCCTGACAGTCCTTCAGGCACTTTACATGCAGTAACTCGCTGACTCCCACCATCACTTTATAAATCAGGCACTACCAGTGTCCTCATTTTACAGGTGAGGAAACAAGAACCCATGCTGGCTCCTGTGTCTGCACTGTCCAGTACAGGAGCCGCTGGCCACGTGTGGCTCTGAGCACTTGAAATAAGCCAGTCAGAAAAAGACAAACACCATATGATCTCACTTATATGTGGACTCTAATGAGCAAAATAAACTGACGAACAAAACAGAAACAGAAGCATGGACACATGGAACAGACTGAGAGCTGTCAGAGGGGAGGAGAGTGGAGGAGGGGGCTGGGTGAAAGGGGGTGAAGGGATAGGCCAAAGGTCATATATGCATAACCCACAGACTTGGACAGCAGTGTGGTGATGAGGGGCCACCCAGCCCCTCCCTCCCTGCTGCTTGAGAAAACAGAGCTGCTTTCTCAAGGTGGTAGAATCATTGGTGATTCTTCCCTCTTTTTTTCTAATGTTCTTTAATATTTTCAATTTTAATGTTAAAGAATTATTAACTGGACTCATTATTTCCTTATATTTATAATTAGCTAATGAAATTTACCTCAAAATTAACAACTCAGCATCCTAGATTTCTTTAGTGATTTAAAAACATATTACATGTTCTCAATTAATTCTAAATGGCATACATAGTAACTTAATACTTATTAAGGTGGTTAATTTGTATTTGAGAAATGAAATAAAACTAGTATCAGGAAAAAGGCTCTAAAAACATTTTATTATTGAAATTAAATAGTTCTTTTAAAATTATTCCTATTAAACAATTGTGTGTATTGACATACATAATCCTACGTAAAAGAAAAACAAACTAATTTTTTATACATACTACTAAATGAATCTTCATTGGCTTAATGAGTTTACAATCACCCCATGCTAATAAAAACACTTTCAATATTTTCACCTTATAGCAGTCTGCTTTTTGTCCTCTAGTTTTATATATCAAACACAACATGGCTTTAAGTTATTCTTAAGTCTCAAAGGCAAGCACACATTTCAGATGATACTGCAGAACACGCCAATACTGACTTGCAGGATTCACTGCATAATATTCTAACAGAAGCTATAAGCAATGTTTTAAAATAAATTGCCCAAATATTTTCAACAAGAATACTTTAAGTTTTACACTTAGAAGCTGAGAGAAAAGTATCACAAAAGTATATTTTATAACCTCTACAACCCCTCACGCCCCAAAAAATCCCATAACCTCGTTATCTTCCCACAAGCACAAAGCTGCTTACCATTCATAGCTGTGGGAAACTGAGCCATCATGGTCCTGAATTTTCCTTGCTAGCTCTCAGCCATCTGCAACATAAAAACATCGTGCCATTAATAATACAACAAGGGCAGATCACAGCTTAGTGCACCCGCCAAGTTGTGGAAATGTCTGTCCCTTCAGCTCACACTTCCAATGGAAAACAATGCAGAGCTGCTGCTGCTGCTGCTGAACAGGCAGAATTTACATTTGAGGAAGGGTAGGAGATTTTGCTGGGTAATGGTTCTGCCTTTAAAATGAACCATTTAAAAGAAAAGCAATGACATTTAATAGCAAATACTGAATAAGGAAACCCTTGGCATGAACTAATTTTGTAGAAATTAATTTGGGAAAGAGGAAAGTTAGTACAACTAGGCAATGATTTATTTCAGAGAAATCAACTCTATAAGTTAAATGTAAATAACAGTTAAATCTTCAATACTCTTCTTTAAAAAAAAAATCCCCCAAACAAGAAAAACATCCAAAATAAATGCAGCGTAAGTGTTTAATCAAGTTTCACAGGTTTATAAACATGGTCTAGAAGTAATTATTTAATATATATGTTTTATTTAAACATAATTCAATGTGCTGGGCAAGTGCTCTATACTTGAAGAGAAGGAAATTTAGAAATTTAATAGCTCTGGGTTCAAATCCCAACTATGCTAGTTTCCTAGTTGTAACCATGAAAGAGTTACTTAATCTTTTTTGAGTCTCGTAGTCATCTGTAAAAATACTTTGCAAGAGTATTTTTTAAAGTATTGAACATAATCCAGTACAATGTCTGACATATAGCAGGGTTTTGATAAATGGCTTTCTGGGTGTCCAGGAAGGAAGAGCACAATGTAATTCTGAACCCTAATTCATTAATTTACTATGAGTAAATTCAGAATGTTTTCCTTGAAACTGGAGGGTCTGATAAGTTAGGGAGTGTGAAGACCTAGCAAATTTACAGTAATGTACTTAGTAATTAAAACCATGGATTATAACATGGTAGGAAAATACTACTATACTAAGAGACTACTCAGTAGTTCATCCATTTATGCAATTCATTTAAATATTAATATTTTTAGAAGCCTAGTGAAAAATGTTTGTACCAGCTATTTGATCAAAGGAGACACAGCAAGTTGCACATCGTGGTGGATGGTGTTACCAGAGCAGGTGGCTGATTAGCTGCCAAGAGTGTTTGCAGGGCACCACATCTTTGTGAATGCAGTGTGCTCAAGAAGAAACATGACCGTACCAGTATAACTACCAAAAGTGAGTCACACAAACCAACAAAAAAACCCGGTATATAAATCCAAAATGTGTTAACCTACAACGAGAAATTTAACCTGAGAGAACAAACAGCAGCTTTTCTTCCTATAAAGCCAACTACCATCTACTAAATTGAGCAAAGGGACTTAATTGTGACTAGAAAATTTAAAGGTAAGCTTTAACTTTTTCTGATAAACCTACTTTTTCTGATAAAAAGGAGGTTTATCAGAAAGTTTAAATCTGATACATTTACCTACACAACAGGGATAAGCAAGAACTGGGCATTAGGTCGATGAACAAACCTCCAACAACGCTTTGGTACTCCCAATTTTTTTATGACTCCCAGATTTTCTGTATGTTACCACTATGTATCATCCTCCTCTCAAAGTATACATTCTTGCTCTGGCTGGTGTGGGTCAGTGGATTGAGCACCAGCCTGCGAATGGAAAGGTTGCCAGTTCTATTCCCCGACAAGGCATGTGGCTCGGATGCAGGCCAGGTCCCCAACTGGGGGTGTGCGAGAAGCAACTGACTGATGTATCTCTCACACATCGATGTTCCACTTTTCTCTCTCCCTCCCTTCCTTTTTTTCTAAAAATAAATACATAACATCTTAGGAACAAAATACAGTTTTTTAAAAAATGCACATTCATTCTTTAGATGTTAGTAACCTTTACTGCAACGGAGCTTTAAATTTGTTTCCACACTTTGACTTCATACTCCGTCACTATGCTCTTCTGAAGTAGGAGGAAATTTCACCTATGTGCAAGATGGTTTTCTTCATTTTTTTTCTCAAAGGTAATGTAAACCATGATAGGATGGTCAGGAACTCCTTGAGGAGGTATTGTGTTGAGATTTAAAGGGTAAGAATGAGCTATAATTGTAATGTTAAGAATCTCGGACTTGAACCTGTGGTTGACAAGAAGTCAGGTTTCACTGAAGAATCATTGTGAAGAAAGGGGCAAGCCTGAAGCAGGGCGATCAGTTAGAGGAGAGCTGAGAACAGTACCTGGCACCTATTCTGGAACAGCGGCAGCAGAAACAGAGAAGATGGACTGAACTGGAGAAACAATGAAGGGCTTAAAACAGGTAGAACTCAGGGACTGTTTAGGTCCAGGCATTATGGAGTAAAAGGAACCAGAGACGACTTCCAGAATTGTAGTTTGTGAGACTGGGTGAACTGTGACTTGCCAACTTAAAAAAATAAAAAGGACAGTGAACACAGAAGGAAGACTTATAAATCAAGTTATGACTACAACTTCCTCAAGTATAGAAATTCTACAAACAAGCATAACACTTTTACTTCCCCACTTTTAAATTATCGTAAGTAATGTTAAACGAAAATAAGCTATATGCCTGCAAAGAAACTATTTACTTACAAAGATGCAGTAGTAAAGGCTCCTATTTTATTAGGTCTCTGTAACAGAGAGATAATTTTAAAATGTGGGAGAAAATCCTCCAAGCATTATCTGCATAAAAGCGTGTAAAATACCAAAGATCCCTTGGAGAAAAAGCACGGACTTATGAAAGACAAAGAAGAAACAGGATCCTGCCCTGGCCAGTGTGGCTCAGTTGGCTGGAGTGTTGTCCCGTACACTGAAATGGTGCAGGCTGGATCCCCAGTGTTCCCTTTCTCCCTCTCTCTTTTCCCCCTCCCTGCCCTCTCCTTCTCCTGCCCTCCCTGCCTTCCCAGTTTTTCCACTCCCTCTAAAAAGCAATTAAAAAATGTCCTCGGGTGAAGATTAAAAAAAGAGGAAGAAACAGGATCCCACAGTCACAAAGTCTCAGATATCTACCTAGGACCTCTGGCTAGTCATCATGTATTCTGTAAACAACAGAATGCTACATAATAGATGCTTAATAATCACAGGTTTAATCCTGAAATAAAACCAAAGAATGAATAAAATAAAATAATAAGCAGAGAAGGCAAATCCCTTCAGTGAGGCTAGGGTACTAGTATTACAGAACCTTATTCACCTGGTACATGGGATTCAGTCACCCATGTACCATAACATGCAGGCACCCTATTATAACAGGGACACATGGAGGAATGGGTGTAACACCTGGCCATGGTAACAATTTGTTGGAACCAATAAGCTTTTAAAGCATACAATTTCATACCTGTTATGTTTTCATCAACTCTCTGACCTGTTGAAAAATACCTCATGTTTAACAATTCTACTGATCCACTTGCAGAGAATAACAATTGAAATTATGAAAAATACAAGTACATTTCACTTTTTAAAAAAGTAAAACTGTTTTACTTTATGTAATCATAACAATTACCATTTACTAAGTTTTTACTTGCTATGTGTCATTCTCAATAGTCATTGGAAGTCCCTTAATTTTGGAGGTTTTTAAGAATTTTTTATGTATATTTTATTGATTATGCCATTACAATTGTCCCCATTTTTTCCTCCCCTTTATCCCCCTTCTTCCTGCACCACCCCCATCCACAGGCCTCCCCACACATCCCAGTTCATATCCTTGGGTTGTACATGCAAGTTCTTTAGCTCCTCCATTTCCTATACTATTCTTAACCTTCCCCTGTCTATTTTATGCCTACCAATTATGCTCCTTATTCTCTGTATGTTTCCCCCCAATTCCCTTCTCCCCTCCCCACTGATAACCAATCTCCATTTCTGTGATTCTGTTCCTGTTCTAGTTGTTTGCTTAGTTTTTTTTAGGTTCAGTTGTTGATAATTGTGAGTTTGTCATCATTTCACTGTTCATCATTTTTTATCTTGTTTTTTCTTAGGTAAGTCCCTTTAACATTTCATATAATAATGGCTTGGTGATGATGAATTCCTTTAATTTTTCTTTATCTGGGAAGCACTTTATCTGCCCTTCCTTTCTACATGATAGCTTTGCTGGATAGAATAATCTTGGATGTAGGTCCTTGCCTTTCATGAATACTTCTTTCCAGCCCCTTCTTGCCTGCAAGGTTTCTTTTGAGAAATCAGCTGACAGTCTTATGGGCACGCCTTTGTAGGTAACTGTCTCCTTTTCTCTTGCTGCTTTTAAGATTCTCTCCCTATCTTTAATCTTGGTTAACTTAATTATGATGTGCCTTGGTGTGGTCCAACTTCTTTGGGACTCTCAGAGCTTCCTGGACTTCCTGGAAGTCTATTTTCTTTGCCAGATTAGGGAAGTTCTCCATTATTTTTTCAAATAAGTTTTCAATTTCTTGTTCTTCCTCTTCTCCTTCTGGCATCCCTATGATTCGGATGTTGGAGCATTTGAAGTTGTCCCAAAGGTTCCTAAGCCTCTCCTCATTTTTCTGAGTTCTTGTTTCTTCATCCTGTTCCAGTTGGATGTTTATTTCTTTCTTTTGTTCCAAATTGTTGAGTCCCGGTATCCCTCCTTTCACTGTTGGTTCCCTATATATTTTCCTTTATTTCACTTTGTGTATCCCAGCAAGGCAGATGATACAGGACTCATTTCACGGCTGAAGAACTAAAAGGTTAAATTACTTGCCTAACTTCAGCAAGTGATGAAGCCAGCATGCAATCCCAAATCTGTCTAATTCTAAAGCCACAGGCTTTATCTGCCTCTTCCTCACTTAAATGGGGATAATAATTAATGATGAGTGGGTCATAGGTTCCTGCAAGCAGCAGGTCAACCTAACGTTGGTACATTTGTAGGCGTAAAGAAAAACAAGCCTTTGGGTCTACATCAATCACACACATAAATTAGGAAGTGCTAATTATTTTTTACCACTAGGTACAACTTTTTGGGAGGAAAAGGGTGTCTCCTGAGTTACATGCCTGATGCCTGTTTTAGGCATGCGTGATTA